AAACTAACATAAGATTTTAGAATTCTTTAAAAAAATTCTTTAAGATATACCATATCATTCGTCTAATAAACCTCTTGCCGAACATGCATCCTTGTATGTCTCGTAGACAACACCTTTGTAAGTTCTTAAATCTTCATCACATGTTGGACCTTTTAGAAAACGAAAGAGGAGTTTCAAATGTGAACCTCTTTCCATCTTATTTGAAAGAAATGTTGTACTTTGACTCTTGATTGTTCTTTGCCTTCTTTGAGAACATTCTTCCTCTTTGATTCCATGTAAAATCTGTTTTCTTTCATATATAAAGGTTAGTAATAAGTTATAGTAGCTTTTATATCAAATGAAATTCAATCAACATATTATTGAGTTAGTTAAATCCTTAAAATAGTCCAATAAACAGAAAAATACATATATTTTTGTTTAATATTATCATTGGTTTAGGAATAACTTTACCTCAGTCATCTCAAAGACTCCTTTGATGGTCTTCTTTGTTCCCTGCAAACAATATATCACGTTGGTAAGAATTTATTAAGAAGGTAAATATTCTCATTTTAAAAATGATACAAATCAATGTTATACAAACAATAGTTGTTGAAGTATTTATTTAAAAAGCTTACTGGAGATGAATGAGACGTTTGCTGTGAATAGAGGTAATTGCTGGCTGAGTGGTAGATGAAAATGACGTTGATATATATATAGTGTAGAAGGAGGGTAGGGTTTTGGCTCTAGTAGTTTCGAAAATCTTGGGGAGAAAGTTAAAATATCTTAAATGTTAATGAAAATATATTCTTGAGAAGATATCTAAATGAATGATACACGAATTTAAAGGAAATAAGGATATTGAGTAGCGGTTTATGGTTAGGATTTAAGAGGAGATAAAGATTTTTGAAATATTTGATTATTAATTAGGCGAGATACATATTATTATGATTTAAAAATATTGTATTGCAGAATTTAGAGATAATATAGATGAAATATGGTATGTTGAAAGTAATTCGTTTAGATTGTGTGAAGATTCGAAATCATCTAGAGATAAAAAGGAATAAAGCCGATTAATATGGCAATTGGTTTAGGAAATAAGATTAAACCGAAATATAAGAGTAATTGTAGTCATAATTGTCGTTTTTAAATAAAGATTTTATAGTTTTATTGTCATAAATTCGTCATATTCCGTATCCCAAATCAGAAAATATTACCAAAAAAGATTCTTTGTGATATTAAATAAGAAAAACGAATTTATTAACTAATTAATGTCGTTTTTCTTTAAAAAATTTCCTTAAATATCTAATCCCTTAAATTGTTTTGGAAGTAATTAGAGGCAATATCTCAGTTTGAAATTAAGACAACATCCCTTAAATTGCTTATCCAAGATCCGGATATAGTTAATCCCGGATTAAACCCGGATCCAAAAGAATTTATGCAAAAATCCCCTGTAAAAATGTATATGTAGATAAACATCTCCCTCTCCATTAAGATAATAAACCCTAGCCACTTTTGCCTAGAGAAAGATTGAAGAGATAATTTTCGGGAGCCTTTGTTATCACCGCCGTCGGTTCCGTTTTACCATCGTCGAGAGAACCTATTGATGCTCCATCAATTGTTGTCTTTGGTCGTGTCTTCCTCCACCATCAACCGTGTTTTGTTTCTCCACCACCAAACAGCCATGATCTGGAGAATAATAGAAAGGAGGAGCAGATCAGAGAGAATAAATGGCATATGATCGTGATCCATGGAGTATTGAAGAAGAAGGAAGAGATAAGGAGAGAGAAGAAACGGAGATGGAGGCAGAGACGACGCAGACTTGGTGGAATTTGGTGGTGGGTATGATTGGTCATGGTGTCGCTGTGGCAAGCTTCGGTGGTGGTGAAGAGCAACTTTGGAGCGGACCAGAAGTGGAGAAGAGAAGAAAAAGAAAGAGGAATAAGCAAAAGAAGGCAGATCCGAGATCAAGTTTTGTGAGGTGGATTCCCGTCATACCAGACAGAATCAGATGACGAGAGAGACTTTTCTGGAAAGATCACATTGTCAAGAATCTACAGCAATTCACGGATCTGGAATCGGGATTATATTCAAGAAGTTATGAGTGTTTCTTCCTGGTCAAGTAACTGCAGAATCTGTCAAAGTCCAGAAACCCTAGAAGGCTGTTCCGAGATGGGCTCTTCAAGACAACGTTTGGAGGTCTGAAACTTTTCCGATCTGGCTGAATTTTGGTGGGAAGATCCGGGGTACTGCAGGCTCAAGGTCCAACGGTGGAATTTATAATGTAACGGTTCGTTCCTTATTTATTAGTGTGTTTCCGAGACTGTATGTTATGGAGTAAATTATGACGAATTTGTGTTGTTGGTTGGGTAAACGAGCTCGGTTTGAGCTGAAACCTTGCAGGAGCCTTCAAGACTCAGTGTCTTAGTTCTTGGTTAATGGAGAGCCAAGGCGGAGTTCAATAGTATACGTTTGGAGGCAAGCCAGTTTGTCTAAAGGAGAAAGGAGAAAGAAATGTTCTTCATCTTCAACCGATAGGCTAAGGTGAGGATGGTATTTGCGGATATGCAGTAACCTCTTTCTTTATATACTCTTCGATAGTTGCTGAGTATAGGCTCGAGAATCGTCTTTGGTGATTTATGTGAATTTGTGTGTATGATAAAGTTAGGTTGTTAGTAACATGATATGTGAAATGCTTTAGTGACATGACTTGACACCAGTGCCGTGCCCAGACTTATCGGGGCTTAAGGCAAAGTTAAAATTGGAGGCCTTTCCAATAAATTTTTTTAAATAAATAATTTCGAAACTATATAAATCATTGAAAAACAAAGCAATAATCCAACTAAGACATCATTTTCTTCCTTCGTTTTTTTATAAACTCTTTCACTAAATTCTCATAATTTTATGTTTCTTTTTTGTCTCCAATTGGATACGATCTCAAAGACATGTTTCTAAAGATTTTAATTTTTTTTTTATCATCATAATTCATTAACAAAAGATTAATTAGTATATATATGTTAAGTTAATAAATATTTAGAAGGTTCCAACTGTTTTAAAAGGAAGAAAGTGAATAAAGTGGAATAAAAAAAAAATGTAAGAAACAGTGAGGGGAATCGAACCCTGATTACTCAGGAAAACAGAGTTCCTCAAAACCATTCTGATAAGCAACATTTTCAAGATTTTTGGGCCCTAAAAAAGCTTTATACTTTGGATACCTGAGGCAAATGCCTTTTTTCTTACCCATGGGCACGGCTCTGCTTGACACCATGTTTAACGTATATTAAATTATAAAAAGGATTAAGTATATATATATGGAAAGAGAAAACTAAAGAGTATGTGAAGGATACTCGAGGAGAATGTTGGACTGTAATGGAGCCGACGGGTTCATTACAGCTCATTAACCGCTGACGAGCAATAAGGGGAAGGATCGAGCTATGGGTCGTGGTCTTCCAGAAGTAGGCTTGAGTAGCCATGAGTTTAAAAGAGGCTCGAGTATCCATAAGTTAAAAATACTTAAAACTAAAAATGAAAGTAAAATATGTTGTTGTGAGCAAGATGAACGCATGTTTGTTTGATTGATAGACCTTCTGAATCTATGCTAAGTAATGGTTGTTGATTATGTTTGGAACGTGATTACTGTATGTCCAGTGGGCAGAGTTGATCTCCTCACTGAGTAAACTTGTTTTACTCACCCCTTTTCACCCTTTTTCTCCAAGTTAATAAGTTCAAAAATTGCGGTTTGAAGTTTGTTCGTTGGTGAATTTTAAAGAAAGAAACGTTTTGGCATGACCGGATGAATAACATACAGTCCCATCCTTCGAGGCGGGACGGGTGTTACAATCCTCCTGTTTTGTTCTTTCCAAAGGTGGTAGACCACAGACTGAAGAAGGATCTTGACAATGGATATCACTTTGGATGGACTGGGAAGGTTATGACGAATAATCCATGACGAAGCTGCAGCAAGGTTTCTTCAAAGATCTTGTCACTCCAAATTTGAAAAAACCGTACTATCTAGCAAGAATGAAATCATATTTCTGCCTAAGTAATAATGGTTTAGGGGTAAGCTGCTATAACACCGAGACAGAGAATGTATGAAAGATTGTAATCCAATCACTATCTTTTATGTGGTATGTATTTTTAAATTAATTAATTTGATAATAGTTTATATATTCTTTGAGTTGTGTGTGACTTGGAATGTTCTTTTAATTCACTTCTAACTCCAATCACTACCAGTTATGAAAAAGCCAAAATGTATCAATCCTAAACATAAAAGATTTTATTAACAATTAAAAAAGTAGATCAATGATAAAATTTGTTACGTATTTATGTTGTACATTACAAGGACATGTATTTTACTATTTTTTAACTAGCTTTAAAACAAACTCACGGGCATGTCAGAGTCTCTGGGAAGTGGGAATGTTCTTCAAAGTCGTTTTGTAGTGAATGTTTGAAAGTGAGTTTGTCCAAAATAAGGGAGTTTCATGTCAAGAATCCTAAACTCATACTTCTTTTGCTACCCTATCATCTTCTTCCTTCTCTAATTCTTTCTTGTGTTCTCTGTTTCTCTTTGTCGCAATCGCAATCATTCTATTCTATTGTTCAACATTTGGTTTGGTTTGTTCGGTACATGCAAACTTCTCAACATTTTCCAAACACAAAATGTTGTAGTGTTTTGACTTGCAGATAGAGTCCTAATACTAATCTCAGTTTCTGGTTTTAAACCAACTGATATCCTGGCTAATATTTCAGACTCTCAAGTACACATGGCCAACTCAAAATCCAATTACTTCATAAAGCCTCTCTCTCAAAATATGTCAAAGCATTGAAGCTAAGAGCCACATGTATAAAGCTTGACAAGAAAAATGCACCCTCGTTAATTTTTTATTGCTTTATGTTAGAACTTCTTCCACTTCTACGTTTGATTCGCCTCTAGATTAGTATATGAAATCGCCAGTTAGGGTTTGGCAATACGAAAGAAGACGACACAAAAGAAAGAGATAAGACATGGAGAAAAGGAATGTAGTACACTAATAATCAAATGGAATGAGAAAGGAAGCCACAAAAGTATCTGCAAACAAAATGTCCTGCTATCTCCATCTCAAGCTCTCAATAGTATCCTCTCCGAAAGATAATAAATCCCAAAAGAATTCAGTCCCAAGCAATACAGTGGAACAAACAAAGACGACATAATAATAAATGCAAGTAACACCGGTACAAAAGACGACACTTAGATCATAAACCAAACGAGAACAGATCCAAGTACTAAGCTCGAAACCATCTTGCTAGCTCCATTCTGCAAAACATAAGATTTTGATTCAGCATTCATTTTATAAAATCAATAAGACATAGGACTTCTCATGTAAATTGATTAATCCGGGGTTACATTTGAAAAGATCCTAAAATCTAGGGGTGGAAAGTTAAATAATTTGGACAGCAGATCTTAGAGAATCCGTCCATCACGCTTTGGACTATTTTTTATTACCAAACTAAACTAGATCTACTTTGGTCCAAAAGAATAATGCCACGTAGCAGAATTAATTATTCACGTGCAGAACAAAGTCACGTGACTACAGCACCCCACGCGCTCGCGGCTCGGATTCGAAGATCTCGAGGCAGACAAGCCAAAATCATCAAATCCGATACGGGCGTACGTTAGCGGAGACTAGCATTCTATTGCTAAATTGCGCTAATTATGTTTTTCACTTTTTTCTAAATCGTACCGTTTTAGATCTAATCAATTTCAGACAAAACATCTCAGATCTGAAACACATTGTACAAGATCTAGAAGAAAAGGTTACGAACCTGGTCGTTTACATCGGTGGGGCTAGGAGCAGGAGAGATAGAATCGGTGCTAGGTCCAGGAGCGTCGCTCGATGGAATAGGTGGGCTAGAAGACGGCGATGGAGATGGAGAATCTGGCTTCTTGGTCGGTGCTGGAGCCGGAACTTGAGCAGGAGGGGAAGCTAGAGGAGCTGGTGGAGGAGTTGCAACGGGAGGAGTTGCTGGAGGAGGAGAAGCGACGGGAGGAGGAGGAGAAGCGACTGGAGGAGGAGTAGCTGGTGGAGGAGAAGCAGGAGGAGGAGTTGCGACGGGAGGAGGAGTTGCTGGAGGAGGAGCGGTAGTGACTGGAGGAGGAGAGGTTGTGACTGGTGGTGGTGCTGAGACTGGAGGAGGAGTAGCTGCTGGTGGAGGAGTTGTTGGAGTTGGTGGAGCTGGTGTAGCGGTTGGTGGTGAAGTCGGAGCTTGACCAGTAACGCCGGCGACGAGAACGATACAGATCACAGCGATAGCGAAAGATCGAGCCATTTTTGCTTTTTTTCTCTCTGTTAGTGAGAATGAGAGAGTTGAGTGAGGAAAGTGAATGATTTATTTAAATAAGGAAAAAGTGAGAATTATTATCAAAACGCAGATACATGGCGTCGTATTGAAGTTGGTTTTAGTAAGTGTGTATAATAATAATAACCCATGATGCCATGTGAGAAGTTGGCGGTGCTAGATCTGTTGACACGTTGGCGAGTCTTCATTTATCAAAATTATGATGGGATGTTGGATGTGGGATGTGGGATGTGTATGAGTTGTATTAATCAATTTAAAGCTTTTAAGTTACTCTAATTCCAAACATGTCATAACAAAAGTTTTTAAAATAAATTTTGAAATGAATGTTACTATTTACTATTTACTATTTACTTTTTGTTCTTTTTTTCTTTTATAGTTTTTTATTGTTCTTTTCTTTTCAATAATTTTACGGTTATATATCATATCAAAAATCTAAATTTTACCGGATATCCGAACACAATATATCTAAGTAGTTATATAGTATATACGAATAAAACCGATTCAGGAGAAAACAAATCAAATTTTGATATGATAATCAAAAGAATATTTTTTTAATGTAGATTTCTTTATTTTCATTATTTTTTTAATATTTTTTTACGTATTTGTTCAAATATCTAGATTTTACAAAAAAAAGTAGATATATGTAGACTAGTAACCCAATTCGAAAGAAAACATTACATTCGTTTCGCCAAAATCTATCACTAAATAATAAATACGCAACTATGGAAACACAAAACAAACCTTCAAAATCAATAGAGGGAGAGAAAGGTTGTCAAATAAAAAGAGAAAAATTGGAGTAAAAATGTGTAAAAGAAAAGATAAGATTGCCTTACAAACAAAGTTACAAAGTTTTTTCCTTATTTGAAAAAACGATTTTGGAAAGAAAAAAAAGTTTGTTGTTCCTTATAAAATGAGTAAAGGGGAGAGTGATGGAGTGATTTGGATGATAGCATGTCAAATGTGGGGTCTTGGTGGGCGTTATGTGTTTTACGATGGATGCTTTTGAACAGATCGAATAATATTAATTTCAATTATTTGATGAATTTTGGATTCTTACTTTGTTAGTGCTATTATTGTTCATGTGCTCTTCCAGAGAGGGTAATGTTACTGCCAATTCATATATAAATGTAGAATCAATTAGGTGTATAGCCTCAAATTTGGAAGTATTCAAAAGTATAGCAAATGATTTAATCTTTTTTATTCGGCAAATGACAAAGAGAAGAAAAAAATTGACAAACGTGTATTTGGTGAATATGGAAAAACAAAAATCTTAACCATTACTAAAGCAAAGGGATAAAAGAAATCATCCAAAGTATAAAAATCATAACTATTACAGGAAGATAGGCTACCATCCAAAGTGTAATCTCAACCTCACTCATCTTTGATTTGGGAACGATTTTAGAGGTATTTTGTGATGGCGGTATTGGGTCTATGGAGGAAATATTTAGAGGTATTTGAAAAATTTGCAGCATACTCGAGCTTCCAAATTAGTATTGAAAAATCTACTATATTTCTATCATATTTTTTCTATAACAAAAAATTTTGTTAGCAGATCGGTTTATTTTTTTGCCTTTGGAGTTCTTCATGTACGTTACATAGGTCTCCTTATAATGACGAAACGGATGTCTAGACTTTTTCCCTCTTGTTGAGAAAATATGAACTCGGATAAGCTCTTGGAAAAGATTTCTGTCTTACGCGGAGAGATTACAACTTTTGAGTTCCGTGATCTCCAGTATTACTAAACTTCTGGCTTTCAGCCTTTAGACTTCCAAGCGCTTGTGTGAGAAAAATAGAGAAGATATGTGTCGCTTTTCTCTTGTCAGGATGCGAGCTAAATCCTCGAAAAACAAAATTGTGTTGGAAAGAGATATGTAAATCGAAAGAAGAAGGTGGTATAGGGTTCAAATCGGTTGTTGAAGTAAACAAAGTGTGTTGTTTAAAGCTCATTTGGAAATTAACTTCAGGAACAAAGTCTTTATGGGTTTATTGGGTGCAAAGAGAGCTGATTCAAACAAGATCATTCTGGTCGATAAAGATGTCCACTAGTGTGGGATCTTGTATGTGGAAGAAGCTGTTGAATTTACATAACAAAAACAAAGGCGTTTCATAAGATGGAAACAAAGTCTTTCTGGAGTGGTTGGACACATTTTTTGGTATGACAATTGAAGTTCAATGGGTCGTACATGATTTGTTAGGAGATAGAGGCTTTATAGATTTGGGGATTATTGCGAGGGCTACTCTTTCGGATGTTCTAGCTACTCATCGACACATGAGACATCAGATTCAGGTCTTAAATGCAGTAGAGATGGAGATTGATAAAGTAAGGTCCAGATTGGGAAGCTCTGAGTCAGACATTTCACTTTGGAGAGGTAAGGAAGGCAAGTTCAAAGATAAATTTTCAACAAAACATAACCAGATTAGAAGGGTGCAACCAAGGAAAGAATGGTACAAGGGAGTATGGTTATCCTACTCAACTCCTACGTACTCATTCATAGTGTGGCTTGCAATGCATAATCGTCTTACAATGGGGGATAGATGATGCTAACGTTTACACTTCATGTGTATCTTGCGATACTTCAGAGGAAATCTGGAGACCATTTAATTTTCGAATGCTCTTACTCATCTCAGATTTAGGGAATATTATAAGCGGTCTCCTCCAAGACCAGTATACAACATCTTACAGTTATATAGTCTATAAGCTATTAGATCCAAACTCCAATGCCACAATGAGGTTTATATTGAGCTATGCTTTCCAAGTCTGTATGAACTCCATTTAGTGTGAACGAAACAAACGGCGACATGTGAAACATGGGATATCTACTATTCTCATGACCTTTTCTATTGGTCGTCTTGTCCGGAATATGCTTGTAAGTTTAAAAGATATTACATCGAAATTCGAGAATGTTCTTCGAGTCTGGTTTGAAACTCGAAACTCTTTAAACCTATCGTGAAGTGTTTTTTTTTTTTTTTAACTCTTTTATAACTCTTTAGCACAAGGTTACATTCATTGTACAAATGTACTTTTTTGGTCGAATAAATTATAAATTCATTAAAAAGAAACAATTACTAAAGCAAAACATAAATTATGAATATGAGAAAGATAAATTGGAGTACAAGTGTATAACATGTTAGATTTTTCTATTAGTTTTTTTTTCTCAAAGTTAAATTAAGCAGAGTGTTTTGTTTTTTTTTTTTTACTTTTAGTAAGAGTTAAGATTTTGCTTTTTGGTCTTTTACAAAAATAACTATTTTGGAAGTTACTTAAGGATATAGCCCCATAAAATTCACAATTAAGTTACTAACATTGTAGAAGAATGAGAAGTCTATTTACTCTCTCACATTTGGTTGCGGTGATGCGCATGAGGAGAGTGAAGACCAAAGACTATGAAGCTATTGTATATCATTGGGGTTTATATATATTGTGAGAAGATGCTCATGGGAGGAGAGAGAAACTGTTTTTTTTTTTCACCTATTTTCAAGTGTAATTCATATTTTTGTTTAAAATAATTAATTTAAGTTCATGATTCTTCTATATAAAAAAAACTATATAGTTTTCTACATACATCATGATTTGAATTTTTTTAAACAAACATAAACTTATGATAAAAAAAAGTAATTAAAAGTACAATAGTTTTGTTTAAATAAAATTAATTGGTATGAAACAAAACGTACATGGCGGTGATGATGGTAACGGTGGTAGTGATGATCACAGTAGCAGAGGTGGTAATGGCGGTAGTAGTGATCTAGTAGCAGAGGTCGCAGTAGTGGTGATCACATTAGCAGTGGTGGTAAGGAAGGTGGCAGTAGCGGTAATAGCAGTGGTGGCCGCGACAGTGATAAAGGTAGCAATGGTGGTGATGACGATAATAGCGGTGGTGGTGGGGGAAGAAGAAGCGGCCGAAAGATAAGGAGAAGATATAAGGATGAGAAAAGAGATAATGAAACTAATTGTTGCGGTGACAAATGAGGACGAGTGATTAGAGGTAAGAATTCATCGTGGGAGTTATAGGAAAAAGAAAGTGATCACAAGCAAGAAATTTTAGTAAATAGGCATTTCTAAACTTGCTCGTGTATTCAAAAAATGTTATAGGTGAATTAGGCATTACATATTTTGAAACTCCCGTTAATCCTCTAAACATATACTAGATCATCACCCGTACTATAGTACGGGTTGAATTTCATTTATTACAAAATTTATATATTATATAGTTATAGAATAAAATCGTGATATATTATAATCGTAAGTAAAAAAATATTAATTTTTTTTATGTCAGTCCATATATATAATATTAGAATGAATATATTTTTATTTTTCTGTAATTCTCAATTATGGATATATTTTTTAAAGATATGAAAACGGAAATTAATATTATTTTCAAAAAAAATAATATTGTTTGAACAATGAGTTAATTTATGTTAACAACCACAAAATGAGAGTGCATATAATTTAGTTAGATCAAAAATCAAAATATCATAAATGAATCGCATCTAAAACGTAGATTATTTTGAATTAGTTAAAAAAGTTAGCTATTATTTTGAATTAATTTAGGATATTATTTTTTCAAATTCTAATTCATTGGTTGTTGAAATAGAGATTTGTTTGAGCTAATTACGGAATTTACCAATTATTCACATAATCGAATATGTTATGAACATATATTTGGTATATAATAATACCAAATTCGATCTGTGTGTGGAGTCTATATTTTCATTTTACAATCCCTATGAAAATATTGTGGCACAATCTATTATTCATTATTTCCAAAATTGCTTGAAGAATTAAATTTTCAAATATTTAGAAGTGTCAAACCTTATTTAGAACTTTTAACCCGCCGCCTACTATAAATATATTAAACATATCTTTTTAGAAAATCAAATTAGTATTTATAATTTTTTTATCTTTTTAAAGTATTAAATATTTATGATATTCTTTAATATATTAAATTGAACTTTTTAAAAATGTTCCAAATTAAAATCTTTAAAAATTTTATTGTAGTATGTAAAATTATGAATTTAAAAATATATATATATGAAACTAAATATAAATATTCAAATAGTTATAAGGATCATAACTCATTTCATCATATAATACATTATATTTAACCCGCCGCCTATTATAAATATTTGTTTCAAAAAATCAAATTAGGGTATTTATATTTCTTAACTTTTTGATCTATTAAGTATTGATGATATTAAAAAAAGGAATATATTACTCAAATATGAATTTTTGACCTGTTAAATTTGTTCTTTCATACATTGAACAATTTATATTCGTTTTTAAAAATTCAAATCTTTGGATATGCGGAAAAAATTACTTTTTTTTATTATGTAGATGATATAATAATTTATTTATTTTATAGAAATAGAATAATACAAAGATGAGAGGTGAAGTATAATGATTAATAACAAATTAATGTGATAAGTTAGATATCAAATCTTATATGTTCATTTTGATTGGTCATTCTTTTTTAAAAAAAAATTAATAATAGATTTTCGTTTTATAATTAAATTAAATTAATTAAATTGCATAAAATAGTATTTGACTTGTTTATCCTTAATGAGTTGAATTAATTTACTCTATAAAATTTTATTTCTAATGACATTCTTAAGTAAATTCTTACAAAAGGGAAGGTTAGTTAAGGGTATCTTATAAAGTGTACTCCCCAAATAATAGTATATGATTAAAAAAAAGAGTGATTATTGTTTATGTGTCAAGCCCACAATTATTCTCGTCTTTTTTAATTTTTAATTTATTTAATTCTACTATCTTTCTTGTCAAACAGTTTTGATTCCATATACTATTTATTCTTATTAACAAAAATTATCAAAATCCAATATTTCAAATTTTTATATAAAAAGCTTCTATACAAAGATTTTATTTATATTAAATGCATTATGTTTTCCAATTAGAAAAGTAAACTATATAAACATATAATATATACATTTCAATACCAACAAATATTTTTTATAAATTATAAAAATTTAAATTGAAATCGGAAAAGTATAAATCTAAACTTATGAAGGACGAAAATGTAACTTTATTTGTTAATATTTGAAATTTAATTTGTAAGTTTATATATAAACTAAAAATTTGTGTTATTGCATCATATTTACATAAAATTATACTTATTTAATTAAAATATTTTAATGCATTTACAAAATTTGGTTTTGACATATTGAGATTCAATAAAAATAACTGATTTTTTTCTAAATCGTTCTATCATAAAATAAATAGCATAAGATTTATCCAATTTGCAAAAAAAAAAAAGAATAAGATTATCTGTGTCACATCTAATTATTTACAAAAAGGAATAAGGTTTCTTTTAACAATTTCTCCATTAAAAAAAAAAAAAAAACAATAAATAATTTTTTTTTCCTTGATTAAGACAAAACCCCAAAATGGCTTTATATATAGTAAGGGAGAGACGAGTAACACATTTAGATAGGGGTGGACATACTATCTGAACTCAAGTACCTGATCCTAATCCGATCTGAAAACCCGATTCAAATCCAAACCCGAAATCTAGAAATAACAGAACGAGTTCCAGACTTTCAAACCCGATCCGAATCTAAATCCGAACATGTATCTGAACATACCTACAATTTAAATATATAGTCATAATATATCGTTAACATTTAAATTTGTAGTAACCTAACTGTTAAATGTATTTAGATTTTCAGAGATTTTAGATATTTTTGGATATTTAATCTATTTCTGAGTAAATTTGGGTAAATTTTTTTTAGTTTTTAGATATTTTTGAGTAGTTTGGATAGATTCCCTATTCTAAAAATCGGACGCCTAGCCGCCGCCTAATCGGCAGCTCTCCACCGCGATTTTAACCAATTCAGACTAATTAATCATTTTTACCCGATTTTGCGGCCGCTTAATGTGTTAAGCGTTGAAAATCGTTCAAGTCAACGTTTTTTACCAAAATAATTAAACTAATTTTGGGCCAGAGATAATAAGGCTCATATACTCAAAAGGAAATAAGTAGGGTTATTTTTTTTTTTTTTTTTGTCATCCGAAATTAAATAGAGCTCAAAAGAGCCATTCCTGAGGAATGTTGTTTACAAAGGTGATATGTAGCGGTTCCGTACGAACTTTTCGTGCCAGATTGTCCGCTTTAGTATTAGCGCCTCGAGAAATTAGAGAAAGAGTGAAGTTGGAGAACTCTTCCTTGTCGCTCTGAAATTCCTCCAAATACACTGAGAAGGTCGGCCATTCGGTTGGGGAAGACACCATCTTCACCAAGTCAGAACAGTCTGTAAAGAAAGCTACCTCTTGATTATCTGCACCAATCATACACTTCATCGCCCAAAGGAGGGCCTCGAATTCTGTATGTAGCGGAGATAGGCTTCTACGGAGGTTAGCAGCTCCCATTGTTGTCGGCTCACCATGTGATGGTGTGCAAAACCACCCTAATCCGGAAAACTTATCATTGTCCTTCCAAGATCCGTCCACAAAACATCGATATCCCGTGAAATTCGAATCAATAGGCACCTCCCTCGTTCGAGGCCGGTTTGGAGTTGTCCATGATTCTTGATTGTCACTAAGAAGCTCCACTTGAGCTGATTGCCACAATTGTGCCTCTTTTTCCGCTAGCCGTAAAACTTCTAGCGGATTATTATCAACATTTCCAAAAATCTTTTCATTCCGTGCTTTCCAGATATACCAAAGAATCCATGGATAAGCAGCGGAATCAACCTCCGAAGGTATCCTCCAAAATAGATGATCTAAATTCGCAAAAATAGAGTCCGAGGGGAAAATCCCCATAGCCGTAGGAATTTGAGAAAGCGCCCAAACCTGTCGTGCTGGGTGGCACTGAAATAGTGTGTGATTGACTGTTTCCTCAGGTGCACCACATCTGGCACATCCTGGGTCACATACAACTCCTCTTCTCTTTAAATTCTCTGTAACCGGTACACAACCCGTTAAAATTTGCCATAAAAAGTGACATATCCTTGGTGGACACTGTACTTTCCAAGTGTTAGCCTTTAACTTATTGAGATCTGGCCCAATGAAAGAGGAGCTAGACTCTGACTTATCCAACCTTGCGGTATGATACCCCGACTTAACTGAATATTTGCCGGATTTTGTAAAGTGCCAACCCAAAGTATCCTCCTTGTGTATCGCTCCCACTGGTAGGGCACTAATTAATTCGACATCATCCTGGTCAAAGATCGCCTTAAGGAGATCAATGTTCCAAAAATTCGACCGGCGGTCGATTAGCATGTTTACTTTTAGAGATGGATCCATAATAGATCCATTACTTTTTGCTGGTCTCGGGAATTGAGCTGGAATCCATGGATCCTCCCAAACTGAGATAGAAGTCCCAGATCCGACTCTTTTAATAAGTCCTTTATTAACCAGAGATCTAGCTGAGCATATACTCCGCCACCCATACGATGGGGAATAAGACTTTATATTTTCCAATGGGTTGGATTTCCGATAATACCGCCCTTTAAAAATCCTTGCAAAGAGAGAGTCTGGAACCGTGATCAATCGCCATAACTGTTTTGCAAGTAATGCCGAGTTAAAATCATCGACATTCCGAAATCCTATCCCTCCTTCCATTTTACTAGTACACAATTTATCCCAGGCCATCCAATGCATGCCTCTGGAATCACCATGCGAGCTCCACCAAAAATTAGCAACTGCACTGGTAAGTTTAGAAGTGATTGTTTTCGGTAGTCTGAAGCACGACATCACATATGTTGGTAATGCCGCAGCTACCGATTTAATCATCACTTCTTTCCCACCTTTTGATAAAAATTTTGCCGACCATCCGTTAATTCTTGTCTGTAATCTGTCTCGGACGAAAGAGAAAAGTTTCGTCTTTGAGCCACCTAGACTTTCTGGCAAACCGAGATAAGAACCCATACCACCGATGGTAGTAATACCTAAAGTAGATTTAATCTCCTCCTTAACATCGTCCACTACCTTATGTCCAAACTGAATCGAAGATTTCGAGTAGTTAATTTGTTGTCCCGAGACCGCTTCATACTGCTTTAAAATCCCCAAAATTACCCCGCACTGATCCTTATTAGCCTTACAGAAGAAAAGGCTATCATCCGCAAACAACAAGTGAGTAACCGGAGGGCATGCATTTGCTACCTTTATACCCGTAATTAATTTCTCCCGTTCAGCTTTCCGTATGTTCGCTATTAGTACTTCTGTACAAAGAATGAATATATAAGGAGAAAGTGGATCTCCTTGTCGTAATCCTCTCTCTGGAATTATTAGACCACGAGGTTGTCCGTTAATGAGAACCTTGTATTGGACTGTAGTGATACACCACATTATCCAACTAATCCATTTTTCACAGAAACCCAATCTGTTCAAGACCTTTTCAACAAAAATCCATTCCACCCTATCATAAGCCTTACTCATGTCCGTTTTTATAGCCATGAATTTTCCTTTACAGGATGGATTAGTTCTTTGCCCATGGAACATCTCTTGTGCAATAAGAATGTTATCCGAAATTAACCGCCCTTCTACAAAAGCCGATTGTGTTTCCGAGATCAGTTTTGGTAAAACCGTCTTCAGTCTTTGACAAAGAATCTTCGATATAATCTTGTAACCGACATTGCAGAGACTAATAGGTCGTAACTCCGTCATCCTGGTCGGTCTTTCCGTTTTTGGGATTAGACAAATGTTTGTCGTATTCAACTGTTTATCAAAAATCCCATCCTCTAAGAAGGAATTAACCAAGCATAAAAGATCTACTTTAATGGTAGCCCAAGCTTTTTGAAAAAACAAAGCTGTCATACCATCTGGCCCGGGAGCCTTCTCCGGATGCATCATAAATAGAGCTGCTCTCACTTCTCCCTCCGTTGCCGGGGCTATTAACAAATCATTAATCTGATCCGTAATCAACCTTTGTACTTCTTCCAACGCATCCTCAAATTCCTCGGGTTTAGTCGTAGTGAATAACGTCTGAAAGTAAGAAACCGCAATATTTTGAACCTCTTTATCCTCCGTTGACCAGATCCCATTCTCATCGTGTAAACCCGTAATTCGATTCCTCGCCCGTCTCTGTTTCGTTAGAGCGTGAAAATATTTCGAATTATTGTCTCCTAGTTGCAGCAAAGAGCTCCGGCTTTTCTGATGCCAATATAATTCCTCATCCCTATAAGCCTCTTTCAATCGAATTGTTAACACCGTAATCTCCTCCCGTGATCGACTATCATCTCGCTGTGCCGCGGATAGTTGTGATTTTAAATCCTCAATTGTTTGTCGACCATATGGGGTCAGCTCCCGTCGCCATTTCGAGATTGCTCGCCGACAATTGGTCAATTTTTCCACAAATTTCCCATCTCCTGGCTCCGTATCAAAATTCCAACCAGTTGCAATTGTCTCCAATAACCCTTCTTTTCCTATCCACCTTTTGTCAAACCTGAAACTTTGTTTCCCGCGTGGTATCTTATCCGCAATCGTAGCTAAAACCGGTGAATGGTCAGAGGCTACCATTTGTAAATACTCGACAAAAGAATTACAGAATAATTCATGCCAATCTTCATTTGCCAGGGCCCGATCTAGACGGCATCGTATCGGTTTCTTATCCCGCCACCCCCTCCAAGACAACCAATCTCCGATATATGGGAATTCCAGAAGACCACAATTTTGAATCATTAAATTAAACGGAATAAAAGAAGACGCGTGTCTTAATTTACCCCCTCTCTTTTCATGATTCCCAGTTAATTCATTAAAATCACCAATTAAAAACCACGGAGAGTCTCGAGATAAGCCGGTTCTTGTTAACCTCTCCCACACTTGTTCCCTCTTACTAGGAACTGGGTCTCCATAAACAAAAGTAAGATAAATTACTTTGCCCTTATAAATTGCTTCAACATCGATTAAACGATTACTTGCAAATAAAATCGAAACATGATAATCATTATTAAAAAAGAGGGCTAAACCGCCACTACAACTGATAGGATCCACAGTTCTTAAATTTTTATAACCAAAATGACCTACAAATTTTTCCATAAAAAAGGTGGATTGTTTTGTTTCCGAAAGAAATAGAAAATCCGGCCGATGTTGTTTCCATAAATCCCGAAGATACCCAATTGACGCCTTATTTCCTAACCCTTGGCAATTCCAGCTTAGAACCTTCATTTATCAGATTTTGGTTTTGGTGGTTTGGCTCCACCCGGCATGCCCTTACCGGTGTCGCGGTTTAAAACTTCTCCCACGTGATCCTTTCCTCCTCCCGCAATCCGCCTCCTAGGGGACAGTAAAAGTTGTGCATTCCGTTTCTTGGAGCTAACACCCATAAGGAGACCTCCAATCCTTATTTTTTTCCCAGCTTCCACCCCTTCATCCTGCGAAGAAGAGACCTCCGGTGCCGCAGCCTTCATCTCATCTCCTACAATATCCGTCCCATCTACAACCTGCTCTGATGAAGACGACACATCGTCTAAAAGATCATCTTCATCCACTGTCTTATCCACCATAACAGCATCATTTCCAAGCAAACCAGATTCCAGCACAGAGTTGGACTCACTTACCTGCTTATCCATTAACCCTAAACCATCAGTTTGGTTCGCATTCTGCAGGTTAATCCCCACGGCTGCCTCCCTACATTCCTTCCCATCAACACCGACAGCCTTTACCAGAGAAGAAACCTCCTCTCTCTCCATTCCATCATTAACCCGACCCTGACCTGTCATTGGCTGAGAGGAGTCTGCCCTAACTTCATGTTCCTTGCCTTTCCCCTTATTATCCCCTGGAAACAAAGACTTTCTAACCTGTTTCGAAGGTACAGCAGCCTGCGCAGAGACTTCCACAGATACCGTTTGATGGTTATCAGCCCGAACCTGTTCTGCCTTTGCAGACCCCTTCCGTCCCCGATTGTCCTTATATTGGGCAGTGCTCTGGTATCGACCAGACCTAGATGACCCCTCCCCTTGATAGCCCTCAGCCCTTGGTTTCTTACCGCCATACTGGTGGCCGTTATTATGCCGCTGATCCTCTTTGTAACCTCGCTCTCCATGAGAGCTCTCATAATAAACAGCCTTCTGTTTCCCTTCTTTACCATCACTTTGCCCTCTGTCCGCAATTACCGCACCACGGTAGCTGAGATTCTTTCGTTCCTCCTCTTCTTCCCCTCCGTAGCCCTTAAACCTGTCATGAATCTTCTCCACCGACCTAAGACAATAGCCTGACTCATGACACAAACTAAAGCAGACCTCACAGAATCCATGTAACCTCTCATACCGAAGCTTGACCCGAGTCTCTTGTCCATTGGAGAACTCAATCTCAGTCTCGAAGCACAAAGGCTTGAGTCCATTAATTGTTACCTGAACCCTGCCCTTCTGTAGATCCACCGCCGCCTCATCAGCCTCCACGTGACCCAGCTCCTTCCCAATGTATCTAAAAGTTGGCTCAGCCCAAAATTGCAAAGGCACGTCCAGAACACGAACCCAAAACTTCAAAGTAGACGGATAATCCGGATCAACCGTAGGGGTCCAACGCACCATTGCAACCATCAAATTATCAAAATGGAATGGCTCCATTTTGAGCACCGAAACAATATCCTCCTCATGATCAAAATCAAATTGGAATTTCCCTAAACCCAAATCTGCCCCTGCTACCTTCCCTTCCAACCCCCAAATTCGTGGCATCATATGGAGAAGAGATTTCATCTCTTGAATCCTTGGATTGAAGCACCTCCCAATCACCGTCTTTGAATAACCTGCTATGAGAGCAGAATTATCAAAGTGTGGAATCTTAATCTTCCGCTTAGTCGCATGTCCCTCGTTCGTCATACCAGCCATACTTTTTGAAACCAAGTTACTCTGTGACATTGTCACTCTTTTGAAACCAAAGTTTAACCGAAAAAGATGAGAAAACCAACTGCAGTCTCTAAGCTTTAGAGGTGATGTGAATAATTGGAATTGCTGTGCAAAAACGCCAGCCTCTCTACGTGATAAATAGCTCCTCACTTCCCAAAACACCGGCGATTCTCCAACCCAAAAAGAGACAAAAAGATATTTCCTCATCAATGGAAGAATATTCTGACCGATCTTTCCCCTTGATTCCCAAGTTTGCCAATAAAAGGCAGGTTCCAATAAATCTCCATCCATCCTCATTAATCTCAAATCTTTCTCGCAGAGCACCTCATTAGTAGCATCTTGTGTAAGGCTACTTTTAATGGGCCTTCCCAGCCTGATCCAGACCCAGTAACCCCTCAAATTCTCCACGGGCCTCACCTCAAGCCCATCATGACTCAAGTCTATTCTGAATCTCCACGTCATCTCCCTGATCATAGAGAAACCATGAGCCTTAGAAAGCCTTCTGCAACCTGCTAACCAACTCCTTCTTACACCAAGCTTAGCCCTGTTTTTCAACAACAGATTTCCATGTGTGATAACCTGAGGAGAACAGACAAACAGTTTGTGCCACATCTGACCCCATTCAACTATCCCTAACGCCTTGTCATCTCCTTCTTCTTTCCATAAGTCACAGTGTCTCAGTTGACTTCCAATCCACAAAAACAAAACCACAGAGACCAAGCAAGACCTTTGAATCTCTACCAACATGAGCAGGCCCCCAAACTCACCCGCTTGATAACTTCTATAAGGCTTGTTTACCTCCTTAACTTGTACCTGAACCTGATGTCCACAGTACCCTATCGTCTCGTCTTGTTCATTTTCTCTACTAAATCGGAAAGCCATTAAACCACACCCAATCTTCAATTTCCGCCTCTGTTGTTCTCAGATCCATAATCCTCCCCGAAGAAATCGTGTTTCCATCCCCTCACCATCAAAAACCCATCTCCTACATAAATAAAATCCCCATCGAGACCAACAGCGACCGAGTTTTTTCCCCAATAGAACCATCAAAGCCAATCGAACCCGGAGAGAAACACTCTCATCAAACCACCAAAAACAATCATCAGACCTCCATAGCCATCTCAGATCCATCGTCGCCAGAGCAACCGAGCACAAACACCAGGTGAAAACCATAGCGTCGTCGCCTTCGACCTCATCTTGGCGAAAGCCCCATCGATCCCACCGGCAAACCATCTCCTTCACCAAAGAAATCAACCAAACTTCTCGAACCCAGAGAGAAAATCTCTCAACAAAACAGCAGACAAAGTCATCAGATACCCACCGCCGTCCCGGATCCACCGTCGCCGGAGAAATCGAGTGCATAGTCGGGTTCAAAACCCTAGCATCGTCGCCGTCGCCGCACGCTCTCTCTCCTCTCAGTGATTCTTCTTTTTTAAGTAGGGTTATTTATAGGATAAATTTTGGATGGTTGATATTTTCCTTTTTTTTTTTTTTTTGTCATCCGAAATTAATTAGAGTTCAAAAGAGCCATTCATGAAGAATGTTGTTTACATATATGATATGAAGCGGTTCTGTACGAACTTGATTTTTTTTTTCTCGATGTGAGATTTTTCGTTTTGTAAGGGTAGAGAGACTTTCATCACTTACACGTGGATAAATAAAAAAATAATAACTTTGAATATATTTGTGTTGAGTAATAGTAATTAAATGCCAATTTTTTTAATATGGTAACCGATGAATCTGACTGAATCTGGCTGAATTACTGAATCAGGCTGAATTTTATTGTGATTTTTTGCGGAATCTGGCTGAATAATTTAGAATTCAAATGGTAACCGCTGAATCTGGCTAAATTTTTGGAAAAATCAATTAAACATATAAACTTATAAAATACTTAATTAATTTTATTTTTGCTAACAATATTAATAAAGTAAAAAAAAACAAAAATATTTTATTTAAATTCTTGTATATTTAATAATCTTATTAAATTCTTGTAATTTAGCAAATAAACTATATATCATAAAAAAAAAAGACAAAACCCCAAAAAAAAAATTAAAAAAAAAAAAAGAAAACAAAAAGCAAAGGATAACACAAAACCCCTTTCCTCTTCCCAAATCCACCACACAGACACAAAGCACCGAAAATGGCGGTTTCTTCTGGAACATTCTCTACCTTCCTCTGCATCAAAACAACATCTTTCCACAACCCATCAACTCCTCCTCCTTCGTCTCTCCGGCTAGCCTCTCACCCGGCGGCTAAACTACGCTTAGTCCGAGCTGTAACATCTGCGACGGCCTCTTCAGAACCAACCGCAACCAATAAGAGAGTGCCACGCGGCATCATGAAGCCTAGACCAGTGTCTCCGGAGATGCAAGACATCGTCGAACTTCCTGAAATCGCTCGCACACAAGCTCTTAAGCGTATTTGGGCTTATATCAAAGAACATGACCTTCAAGTAAATCTCTCTTAAAAGCTCTGGTTTAGATTTCTCTTAGGGTTATGTGTCGATTTCTTTAATATTGTGGTTTGTGTTTTTGAGGGTCAAAATTTAGGGTTTCTGGTAGGAAACTTGAACGGTGTGGATTCAAGAAGACAGAAATTGGATTAGGTTGTCTTCTTGTTAGTTCCACAGTTGAGTTACTTTAATGAAACTTTTCTTAGGATTTTGTGTTTTGAGATTAGAAAGCTTTAACAGATTGTGTTAGTAGTGTTGTTTCAGTTCCAATCTTGAGCTGAATATTAACTAATGAGAGTGTTCAAGAACTTGGAGTGAATATGTAATATAGTGTGGATATTAGTGGTTTATTTCATTTTGGTGACTAATTGCTTCATATGATTTTGAGGGTAGATGTTTATAACATTTTGTGTAACAATTTTGATTCTTTGATTTTGTCTGGTTTTTACATTTTTGGCAATGTGTGTCCTTTGTGGTGGCAAATAATTTTTCTCTGGCCTATGTTCTTGAACCTTTTTTGCCTATGTCCGACCTGTGTGGGATCTACTTTGACCAAAATCCTAATGTGTTCTGTCATTAGGATGTAGTATCTGGTCTTCTTATTCATTTGAGCTTTAAAGTAGAAATGATTATCTCTGTCTATTTGTTTTTGAGCTCGTCCATTTCAGACACTGACCATGTTTGGCTGCGTATTTCTGATGTTTTGATCTCTGTTTCTTGGTATTATTGTTGCTGTTTGTTGAAATTCTTGTTCTTCTGTATTTTAGTGTTCACGATGCTGCTTCTCTGCAAGTTCTGAACTCTAAATTGTATAGCAACCAAGAAGCCAAATATCTTGTTACTCTTTTAGAAAGCTCTGTATTATTCTCCTTGGCAAGTCTCGAGGTTTAATGAACCAGCTTTGCAACAATACTAGATGATGTTTCACTTGCATCAACGTTTTACTAAATGACTAATTTTTGTTCTTCAGGACCCACAAAACAAGAGAGAAATACTGTGTGATGAGAAGCTGAAGAAGATATTCGAAGGCAGAGATCGGGTAGGGTTCTTGGAGATTGCAAAGCTCATCGGTCCTCACTTCCTCTGATGGAATTTCCGCGAAACTTTATTTGGATGATAGTCTATGTTTTGTTGAGCTGTTAGGGCCATGAAAGAGAAGGGTATCTTAAGTTGGGGAAGACTTAGATTAAGATTAGTAAATTAGGGTTTTTTGCAAAGTAAGTACTTAAGAAGGTTTACTTGTTTTTTTTTTGTTGTTGCTTCAATGGATGTTATGTAGACCTTGCTTCCTAATATTGTTTGCGTTTTCATTTCAATTTCAGATCTTATTTTTCTTGATTTTATAATTATCTGCTAACAAGAAAACATCAAACATGAAGTTATACATACAACATTATTCTGAATTAAGTTTGATGTTTCAGAGGGCAGCGTAAGCATGGAGAGTAGATTGAGCTTTACGTCCAGCTTCTGTGTGGAAGAAGTGAACGAAATCTTTGTAATCAAAGGGTTTGAACATGCGTGGATGTTCTTCGTCGACAAGTTCTTCAGGTGAATCTATAATAGTTTCTAGTTTTGGGACCGAGAACAGCGCTGTCGAATACCTTGTCTTATTTCCCATCATCATGACTCGGTGATATGATGAAGGCAATCGACCATTCAAAAGTGCCTGCAACGCATCAACAAGGATATGATTGGTTGTTCTCTAAATAAGAAGTGTGTGTGTGTGTGCGCGAAATGTTGTTATTAAAAAGGAAGTTAGGACTTATACACATAGAGAATCTCCAACCATAACGACGAAAGAATCTTGAGATGGTTTCACTTTGATCCATTTTTCATCTTTGGTTTTCACTTCCAAACCATCAACTTGATACTGATGAAGTATCGTGATGATGTTCTTATCGGTATGAGCAGGTAAACCGACCTTTGTCTCCTCTACATCAGCATCAAGAGGTGTTGTATACTTCATCATTCGCAAAAGATAGTTTGTAGATTTAAGATGTTCATGAATGTATTTTTCTATCCCAAAACTCTCCATTATCATTCTTCTCACCATCACATCCAATTCCAATAATTGATCCGAGAACCGGTGAATCGTCTCACTATATATTTAGGATGCAAAATATTTACGTTATTAATCAAAATGTGAAGCTTATATTTACCCAAAAAAGAGAGGAAAAAAATAGTTTTTTGTAATGCAAATAAATAAATAAAGTCCTAAGTAATTGACTTACCTAATACTCTTGTTCCCATGCTCAGGCCATAACTGTTTAGTAAAGTCGTTGACTTCCACCAAAACATTAGCATCATCGATCCCCAAACTCTGATAGAGATTATGACAAATATATCCATGGAAGGGTTTGGAAGACACGTTTCTCTGTTTGGTCTGAACCGGCAAGTCGAAAAGCTCTTCCATAGCTTCAAAAACAGACTTCTTAAGCTCCACTGACACTTTGTCAAAGGTAGCTTCGAAACAACCGTATTCCTCTAGAGCTTTACGGACATCAGCCTTCACTTCATCCCACTTTGAGCTTCCTGGTTTTAGGGTTTGGTTCGAGAAATCGATAACCGGGAGCTGTAAAGAAATAGAAGGAGGAATAGAGTCTGAATCCATTTCTTGATTCTGTGAATTCTGAGGGTGTTTTTGCTCTATGGTATTGGCTTAAATACTAAATGTTTTTTGGTGGAAGAATTCTATAACTAGTGGCAGACTGGTAGTTACTAACTACTAGTTAGTATGTCTTTTATAGTTGGTAGCTGACTAGCTCTTATAATGCACTAGATTAGTAAGTTTTCTTCCAATTTTATATTGAATTTCAGCCGAACCAACTATAAATTTTATTATATGTTTGAGTTTAATATATTTTTCAAGATTCACTTATAATAAGATTGTTCTACTATAACAATTAAAAATTATATGAGTTGGTATTAGAAGATTTCAGAAATCCAAAATTCAATGTTTTCTTTAGTTTATAATTAAAGAGAAGATTTTATCATAAAAAATCAATTTTATTTGGGATTTTGGTGAACTCGCAAATGAGTAGTTTAGACCACACGAGATCCAACTGAGCTATCCTTTGATAGCCGGAAAATAGATTTCTGATACGCCGAGTCGCCGATCATGTTAATACTCCGTTGAAAAGATTTGAGGTACGTTGGGGAGGAATATACAATGAAACCTCTATAAATTAATACTCGATAAATTAATACCTCGTTAAATTAATAATTTTTTCTGGTTCTAAATTGATATTTTGGCCCAAATATCACCTCTATAAATTAATAAACACAATAAATTAATAAAATTTAGTAAAATACATTAGTCTCGATATTATTAATTTATAGAAGTTTAATTATACTGCCGTGGATTTCTCGCATATATATACAGTATTTGAAAATGTTTCTAAAAAGAACGAGAAAATTAAAAAATTTCCCTTGACTCGTTTATGCACGAATTCACATTTACCATTGTCTAGATGATATCTCGTTTTGTCTCACTACTGTATCACTTTGGTTAATTTTTTTTTGTCAAAAGGTTCTAGACTACATACACAGCTAAAATTTTCATCAAAAAAAGCATATACTAAGTATTCAAATACATGAAACCTTATGCACTTTGTCTCCATTGAATGAAAACTAACTTCAAGATTTAAACCATCTTCATGAATACACGAAATTTAACCATCTACAAATACTAAATTTAACCATCTATAAATTTGGGTTTAGCCCATAGATATGTGAAACCTAGAATTAAAATTATCTTAAGATGGGCTTTAGTTTCTGCCCATTAAAACCATGTCGGTCTCACCTTCTCATCTGCAAAAAGCTCTTTCTCCTCTCGAAGAAGAAAAGCAAAAGCAACGTGGTGAACACAGAACATATAGAAAGTGGCAGAAGTGCGTTAGACTTAGACTTATACTCGAGAGAATCAAATCAACACAAGGCAAAGAAACAAACCCTCGATTTTATCCATACTTCAACAACTAACTCACAAAGAAGAACAAAAAGGCTTTATATAAGCCGTAACACCAAAACCCTAGATATATAAATTTATCTAAAATATAAATAAATGGAAATATGTCTTGTCCGCCAAGTAATAACGATGCCGCTGCATCACGTTTGGCTTCGACGATCATCCAAACATGGATATTATCCAAGAATCATCAACTGCATCAAACCACAAAAATTTGTAATAGTAATAGCCAATTCGTAGTTAAAAGACAAAAGAACAAATTAGTGTTTGTAACACATAAAACAATTAAAACCCTAATTGGCTATTAAGAAAAAAAACCCTAAATCGCAGCAACGACCACAAGAACATCGATTACTTATCTTTAGTAGAGACTCCATACTTCTCTTGCAACTTAGTAATCTCCTCTTCTTCCTTCTTCAAGTCAAGCTTCTTGCTCATCTTCGCGTGTTGGTAATACTGCACGATAAGGTACCGATTCGCTACATTGAAGCCAGAGAGATGGTCGACAGCTCTCTTGGCATCGTAGATATCCTCGTATACAACGAAAGCCGTGCCTTTTGTGCCCTTGTCACAACCGATTCGAATCTGGCGAATCGCGCCGTACCTTCCGAAGAGATCGTACATATCTTCGCTCGTTATGCTAAAGGGAAGGTTACGAACGTAGAGTAGGCGAGTCACCTCCGGTGGGAGCCTCGGGTTTTTTCTATCCTTTTCCGTGCGAGGAGGCATTGTTGTAGCTCTCTTCTTCCTTTTTGCCGGAGAGAGAAAAAATCTTCTCTTGGAAAAATGAAAATTCTAGTGTGATTTCGATAGACGTGAGTTTATTTATAGGGATGGATGAATTTTGTAAAGGTTGGCAATTTTGGAAACATAATAAATTTCACCCAAAAAAGGAAAAGGATTAAACCGACATTAATTTGTCATAGGCAAGGGGAATTATTGACGGTGTTGTGTAAATCATTAAACCGAACTGATAAGTGATAATTTGTAATTGGTTTGATAGCAAATTATTGTGCTAATCCGGCAAATTTGTAATTGATTTGAATATCGAGCAAATCATTCTCTGATTTAGGGTTTAGTTTGAAGCCTTGGCTTATATGGTCTTTTTTTTTTTTTGTTAATCTTCCCAATTGGGTTTTAAGCTAATTAAGGACATAATCCATTAAACAGTTACAAAAATAGCTAAGGCCCAAAATGGAACTTTGCCGGAACCAGAAATATGAAACAGGGCGAAGCACCAGAAAAGCGGAAACTCTGAAAAAAACCTACCAATCCAGCGCTAACAAGGTCGATTTCTTTGCAGCTATGGTGGTGAAAACGTTCTCATGACCAGAGTTAGAGGTTTCCGTTGCAATCTGAGCCTACCACCAACCGAGCAGATCTCAACTAAGACAACCGAGCCTTCATTTCTCAACTCCTAACCTAGCAAGAAGAAATGAGGGCTCGGTTGTCTTAGTTTAGATCTGCTCGGTTGGTGCTAGGCTCGGATCGCGACAAGAACCGCTAACTCTGGTCATGAGAACGTTTTCACCACCATAGCGCCAACCATCATCGAGCCTCAACCGTGACCTAACCACCTTAATCTGGTTAGGCGAATGCAAAATCTCGAAAGCTAAAGAGGGATTGAAGCTCAACCAAATCCAGATTAGCCACAGGATGAGATCAACCCTCTAGAATCCGAAAAGATCCACAGTTAATCGCCTTGACTAGTAGAACACACCCACCAATCTGCTCCTCTACTTCCGCCGCAAGCTGCAATAGCCACCTTGGACAGACGAGCCGTGAGACGAACCACCACGAATCTCCGGCGTCCTCGACCAGAATCGACTGGGAATTTGAGGATGAAAGTCTCTGAGGGTGGTAAACTACAGTATATTCATCCCAGTTCAAAATAGGGGAAGCAGGCAAAGGAGCCTGGGAAATTGGCGTATACGACGAGATATTAGAACTCAGGGAATTATTCTCATGTTCACGTCGATTGATATTGTTGGAACCTTCACCTTCTTGCCACACAGGAACCACCAACACGTCTGATTCATCATCCGGGACAACTGGAGGAGCTAAATACAGGCAGTGATTGGCCTGGTGATTCATACGGCATCGGTTAGTGAAAACTCTCTTGAGCTTTTCATACTCAAAGCCAACCATGGCACCTTCTCTAGACTCAAAACACGCCCTTCTAAAGAAACGCAGTCGCTCAGTAATATCAAGTCTGATCTTGACTCGAAGAAAGTTAATCTGTGTGGTAGTTTCTTCATTGAAATCCAGAGTAACAACTGCACCTAGAGTATTTGCAATAAACCTGACCGTCCTCACCTATACATATAATAGAGGTATAACCTTAATTTGAACCCACAAGTCTATATAAGTAAGAAAATCCTCTCTAGGAAAATCTTCCCATCGCTGAAGCGCAATAAACCATTCATTCATTATACACCCATGGAGCTCGCCTCAAGACATTAAGTAGGTCTACCTCAGTGCGAAAGCGGAACTGAACACACCTGTCGTCAAGGATACGCCCATGTACTTGTGAAACCAATCCCCACTAATGAGGTAAAGCAAAGATAAGTCTTCGAAGATTCTGAGCTTGAGGATTAAGCGATCTCTCAATAAGACTTAACCTATTAGTAGCCAGAACTCCAACATAAGCTTGATATGGAATAAAGAGTTCAGGGTCATCACGACCCAATACCATATACTGGAGGTCATTCCATAAGTCGTCACTCATCTTTTTGTTTGGGTTTTTTTTTTTTAAAGGAGGATAAAAGCAAAAAAAGTTATAGAAGTAAAAGAAAGGAACCCTAGGACTATATAAAAGTTAGAACTAATAATGAGATTATCCTGAAATATAAAACTATCCCAAAAAGTCAAACGAAAGATAAAAGGAATGAACCCAAGGAATATAATGATTATAAAGTATAACACCACCGCTAACCTTAAAATATCTATGACTTTTGTTGTTTTTTCTAACTTTTCAACTTGATCCGTAAAGATATTTACAACTAACATGGATATTTACTTAGATATATAAATATATGAAGATCCTAGTAGATATTAACTAAAATATAAATATATATAAATCTACAAAATTAAAACCCTCTTAAAAACTAAAAAAAAAAACTATAAGAAGATAGTGAAGAAAACGATCGACAATACTCTTTTCCTTAGTGAAGAAAGCTACGATCCACCTAGGGTAACTTTGGGCTACATAAGAATTCACTCTTATATCTGAAGTAACACTTCTAGCTATTTTATAAGCCCCCTCGTTACACCTATCACGTTCAAAAATAATGAACCAATTTTCCATCCCATCAGGCATCAGTCATTGATAACAGGGGAAAGATGTGAGTTACAAGTGCTGGCCAATCATTTGGTTTATGAAGGGCTTTAATTATCTCCATTGTAGTGGCACCAAAAGTCACTCTCTGTACATACATGCTCTTCATATTCTCTATGGTCCATTCCTAACTCTTAAGCTTAGCTTCAAATAAGGACTTAACCTAAGCATAAGACCGACGACTATGGAGATAATTGGGTGGGAGACTATGGATCTGGGCAAAATTAGTTTTTTGGTAATTCAATATAGAGTTTAAAACAATGTAATTTTTAGCCTACTTTTTTGCCTAAACTAACCCCACACGTTTCTCTGTTTCGAATCAGTTCCATCGTAATAAATGAGACAAACACGTCAGATTCTCTATTGACTCTTGGATGTTCATTTGCTTCACATGTTCATCATTTTCCCAAGTCCCATCATCTCTTTCTAACACCATTATTCAATTTTTCTTTATTCTGATTTAACTGGATCGTTGTATATATTATTTACTTCGCTGTGTCGTGTATACTATTTACTCTGATGCATCGGAGAATTCGTCGTATATACTATTTACTCTGTCGTGCCAGAGAATCCGAATATTTTTTATTTATCTAAATTCCCTGATATCTCTCTAATGGTTCAGTTAGATATGTATTTTTGCGTTATAGATCTATGTGTGGATATCCAAATTATTTTTGCATGGATCCCCAAAATTTTTTGTAGATCTATATTTAAATATTTACAGATATATAAATGTTAATAACTCCTTATATATGTGGTTACATGTATATAAATGTTAATAGTGTTCTATATACGTGTTTACATGTATATAAATACTAATAACACTTTACATACGTTTTCGTTGTTTTTTTGTAGCTCTACGTCTACGTTTTTGCAATAAATCAAATGGCTTATTTATTAGGTTAGTTCAACTAATGAGCATTTATTAACTCTCAGTTGCTTTTTCCTTTCCCTAAAAAGTCAAAAGTGTTGCCCCACGCGCATCGATAAAAGAAGAGATGGTTTTTTCGTAAATATTACGAACTTCAAACCTATTTGTTAACTTTAATTATTTCTGTTGAAGATCACAACCCCATATTGTTGATTACCTAATTTTCTACTTCATTTTGTCTCTGCACCAATTGACCCAATATAAAACTACCCCAATAAGTCAAAGGAAAGAAAAAAAAAATCAAACAAAGGAATATAATGATTATAAAGTATATATAACACCTCCGCTAACCTTAAAATATCTATGACTTTTGTTTTTTTTTTTTAACTTTTCAACTTGATCCCTTAAAGATATTTACAACTAACATGGATATTTACTTAGATATATAAAATACATGAAGATCCTAGTTGAAATTTACTAAAATATAAATATATATATATATATATATATATATATATATAAAGATCAACAAAATTAAAACCCACTTAAAAATAAAGAAAACCTATAAAAAGATTAGTAAAGAAAACGATCGACAATACTCTTTTTCTTAGTGAAGAAAGCTTCCATCCACCTAGGATAATTTTGGGCTACATAAGAATTCACTCTTATATTTGAAGTAACACTTCTAGCTATTTTATAAGCCCCATGGTTACACCTATCAGGTTCAAAAATAATGAACCAATTTTCCATCCCATCAGCCATTGATAATAGAGGAAAGATGTAAGTTACAAGTGCTGGCCAATCATTTGGTTTATGAAGGGTTTTAATTATCTCCATTGTAGTGGCACCAAAAGTCACCCTCTCTATGGTCCATTCCCAACTATTAAGCTTAGCTCCAAATAAGGACTTAACCTGAACATAATAAGACCGACGACTATGGAGAACGACATTGCTCAATGTGTCTTTTAAAGTCTAGTTTTTGGATTTCGAATTAAAAGTTTAGCTAGAATTTAGAAAATTTTGTTATTATATCATAAACTTTAAATGAAGACAATTTTGACTCTTCTTCTTCTATGATTCTATCTATCTATCCATCGACAGAAAACACAAATGAAGTTAATTTTTCGAAGACAAGATTTTATTGGATTTACCAAGATCCGGTTTTGATGAAAGCCTGAGACCTTGTCGTTGAGGAAAGTATTCCTGTCTATGTTAAAGCCATCAAGGGACTTGGGGTTGTTCAAAGTTTTTTTTAGACTTCTTATTAAAGGCACATTCACTGCTCTATCTTTTCATTGCAAATTCAATTCTTTAAGCTCAAATTGAAACAGAGAAATATTATAACATCTTTACGAGGTTTTTACCATCTTGTTTAAAATGCTTGTATTTCTATTATTGTCATCGTCGAAGTTAATACATGACAATGAGTCGAGTCCTTGAGCTCGCATTGTCAGTTCACAAAAACCGAAACATGTGCTCAACAACAACAATAATAGATTAGCCCATTTGTGGTTCTAGTTACACTTACACATTATATTATTAGCCCCAGAAAAATGTAAAGCTTGTAACGCAAACATTTATTAATCTTTTCTATAGATAACATAGCCTAAACAGAGGATAAGAAAGAAAAAAAAAACAAATCACAGATACAGGCCTCATAGATTAAGCCTTTTAAGTGGGTTGCAAAGTTTGTTGATGAAACCATAAACGTTTCAGCGTCTGGCTGTTCTTTTGGTGTTAAAGAACTTCTCTCTAATTGAGATTAACTCCTTTGTGGCTTCACTTGTTGCCAAACGGTTCGTCGGAGATTCTTCACAACACCTAAGTCCCAACTCTAAAACAAGCGTCAAGCACTCAGCAACAGGAAAACCGACTCTGAGACCGCAATGAAGAATCGATTCGTCTGCAATGTCCAACACTCGCTTTGGCAACGCCAACTTGACGTAGTTGTGTAGTGTAAAAGTCCCCTCAAATAACACATTGGTTGGTCTTTTTCCAGTAAACATTTCCAAAATAAGAACCCCAAAGCTATACACATCACCATGTATTGATGGATGTCCTCCAATTCCATATTCTGCACCATAGTACACAGAAACAACGACAAAAAAGATGGTAATGAAAAACAAATGTACTAATTTTTTTTAATAGAAAATTATGTGATAGATATTTTACCTGGTGCGGCATAGCCGATGGTTCCTCTAACTCCGGCCGAGCTAAGTTGGTTGAGGAAGGAGTCTTTGTCGAATTTGAGGAGAAGTCTAGCGAGACCAAAATCGCTAACATGGGCGGTTAGATCATCATCTAGAAGGACGTTGCTTGGCTTGAGATCGCAATGCGCTATGGGTTCATGGCAATAAACATGAAGATAGTCCAAAACATAAGCCACGTCTATGGAAATGCTAAGTCTTTCAAGAAGTGTCAAAGTTCTTGAGGGCCTACGAATCTCTTCAACCTCCTCTGGGTGCAGCCACATATCCAAGCTTCCATTAGTCATAAACTCATAGATGAGAGCTCTGAATTCGTTTCCTTGGAAATCAATACTCGAGCAAGCCGACAATAGTTTCACAAGATTACGATGCCTTATATCCTTCAAGGATTCACATTCTGCCATAAAGCTCTTCATGGCTCCACGTTTCTGTAGGTTTAAAACTTTCACTGCAACAACCTTGTTCTCTATTGGGAGCAACGCTTTAAAAACAGTACCAAAACTACCTGATCCAATGAAATTGCTCGAAGAAAATCCATCTGTAGCATTTCGGAGATCTCCATAACTTATCTTTTCATGGAATGCCTCCAAAGTCGAAGGAGTTGGATTATTGGTCTGTAGATTCTTCTTTCTTTTTCTAAGCAAACATAGAGAATATGAAGCCATAACCAACAACAAAAGCAAAGCTATGCCTACACCTACTCCAATTGCGACTTTCTTTAGATGAGAGGAATGCTTTGTCCCCATTGGTGGTGCTTTCGAGGGGCATGGCTTTATATTCAATTCCTGGATGCCTCCACATAAATCTTTGTTTCCAAATACTGAAACAATAGTAGCATTCTGAAATTTTCCTTCTGTTGGCACCCTTCCCTCAAACTTGTTAACAGATAGATTGAGATACTCCAACGATGGAAAGTTTCCAAGATATCGAGGTATGCTTCCAGAGAGATTATTGTTCGACAAATCGACTCTTTTTACACCCATCAACGCTTTTATATCTGGAATAGCACCCACAAAAGAATTTCCTTGTAGATAAATAACTTCCAACGAGAGACAACGTCCCAAGGTTTGTGGGAGTTGTCCTGATAAGTTATTATTACCAACTTTAAGTAGAACAAGATACTGTAGTCTTCCAACATCATTTGGTAGAGAGCCGATCAAAGAATTACCTTCTATGATTAACGTTACAAGGTTTGGGATTTGCATAATTTCGCGACGTATAATCCCACTCAACTTATTATACGCAATCCACAATTCTAGCAAGTAACTACAATTACCAAGACTAGGAGGAATGGTTCCTTCAAAACTATTGTTGAACAAATAAAGGTGTACTAACCCAGTGATGTTACCTATAGAAGATGGTAACTCTCTTGACATTCTATTTGAATAGAGACTTAATTCCCCAAGTTCTGAAAGCTTACCAATAGAGGTTGGGAGTGGTCCAGTCAACAAATTATCTCCCAAATCAAGTGACCGTAGGCTTATGAGATTCCCGATGTCATGAGGAATGCTTCCAGAGATGTGATTCATTGCAAGGTATATATTGATGAGGCTCCTGGATAGATTGGCAATGGAGGTAGGTAGATCACCTGCCAATCTATTTTCACCAACATATAAAGTTTCTAGTTGGGTGCAGTTAGTCAAAGACCCAAGAAACTCAAGATCACCAAAAGATTGACTTCCCAAAGAATTGCGATTTAAACTTAGGATTTGCAAACGCGGTATTTTTCCAAAACCCAAAGGAATACTACCCGTCAAATTGTTTTCTTCCATTACCAAGCGTTGAAGAGTCGAGACATTGGAAAGTGTTGTTGGAATGGCTCCTGTGTAATGATTCCTTCCCATATTTAAATCTTGAAGATTTGGTAGCATGTTCCCAAAATCAGACCTCAAGCTACCAGAGAAACCATTATCAAAGAGGTATAAATACTCAAGTGAGGACAAATTGTAGATACATGAAGGAAAAACACCTGAAAATCTGTTGGATCCTAAATGAAGACGCAACAATTGAGTCAATTTAGACATACTATATGGAACCTCTCCTTCTATATAGTTAACCCCAAAGCCAAGGTATCTAAGGGATGTCAAGTTTCCAAGAGAGGCCGGGAGCTTCCCTTTCAGGTTGTTTCGACCAAGATATAAAATACCAAGGTTCGTCAATGACCCTAGTTCTGAAGGAACACCTCCTCCAAGATGATTTCTAATCAAAATAAGCTCCAACAATCTTGAGCAGTTAGATAGACTAACTGGAATTCTTCCTCCAAGAACATTTGAGGCCATATTCAAGTATTTAAGTCTAAACAAGTTTCCTATCTCTTCAGGGATGGTACCACCAAAAGTGTTATTAGATAGATCAAGTGATATGAGAAACGAGAGATTACCAATATATGGTGATATCACCCCTCCCAATTGAAATCCATTGAGGTCCAAACTAATAACTCTCTTGTGTTTGCTGCCACATTTAACCCCCTTCCAATTGCAAAGTGGGAATGAGTTATTCCATGAGGACAAGACAACTCGTTTACCTTCAGAAACTTGAGACTTGAACTCCAACAATGATTGCCTATCAGTTTCAGCGGTAAAACCGTATGCTTCAAGTAACATAGAAGCAAAGAAAGAAACTAAAAGAAACAATCTCATTCTTCTCTCTTTTTTTTTAGTTTTTTTTTTAAAAGTTTTTCTTGGTTAAGAGCTTGTGGACTTCTGGTGCTTCCAATAATTGCAGGAAAGTGAATAGAGAATAATATAAGGGACGAAGCAATTTATGCAACTTGAAGTGATAATAATGCAACTTGAATCAAAAATAGGGACAATAAACTGTCCCACAACCACAGTCCACAGAGAAAACTGCCACACTTTTCCAATACGGCATCGACTCTTTCCATTTAAGTCAACAAGTCAACTATCAAAGACAAAAAAAAAAAAAAACATTTCACTAGTCTTCATGATCTTTCAACAGATAAATTAAGGGATTCATATCTAAAATGCCATTTATTTGGAAAAACTTATGAAAATGCCATTTTTTGAATAGTTTACGGATTTTGCCATTTTTAACATTTAAAAATATACGTATTTATGTTTGTTTTTTTTGCAAAAATACGTATTTTATACCAAATACTAAATCCTAAAAACAAATGGAACCGACTAAACCCAAACATAACGAGTAAAACGCATGTTAAATCATTTTTTTGACGTCTAAAAATTTGCGAAATCCAAAACTATTCAAAAAATGGCAAAATCCATATTTGCCATTATGAAAAATGGTATTTTTCGTAATTGATTCATAAATTAATATTTCAGCCTCTGCTTGTATATGACTCACATCATGAGACAAAACACTAGAACAATTATAAATTTTACAAACAAAATTTGATTTTGATCCATTTTAGCGGTTATCCCCACATGCAGGACATCTTGGGTAACTCGGTCAAGATACGGTTTAGCTAAACCGACTAAAATTGAACAGCCTTTTCCCCTTTTCTCAACTAATGGAAGAAACTGGAAAAATCCATCAACTTTTTGCAGTCATCATCAAAGCTTCCTAATACCTGAACGACAACAACAACCCCTAAAATCTCGGAAGCCAGAATGAGCAGAGCATTGTTCAGAAACGTGGCCGCCGACACCGCCCGGCTCATACGGCGGAACGTGGCGGCGGAGACATACCCTTTTGCTAAGACCGGCCTTGCTCAATCAAGACCTTATTTCCGGTCGCGTCAGCTTCTCGGAAGAGCTAAAGAAACAGGAGTCTCACCTTCTCCTTCTTTGGGTTTTTGTTCTTCTTCTTCTTCATCTGCGTCGATTTCGAAAGTTGGGTTCGTTGGATGGTATCTTGGTATGGTGAAATCACGCCCAGTTTTGACCAAAAGTGTCACTTGCTCTCTTATTTACATTGCCGCCGACTTGTCTTCTCAGGTACTGGAAAATGGGTTTCCTTTTCCAAGTATTGTTGCTAAAAATGTTTATGCTTTTTGAAATTTATGCGTTAGTAGTTGTGGCTCAATTGATTAGGAGGAGTAAAGTTTGATCCTTTATTGGAATAATGTGTGTCTGAAACACAAAAGGGATCAGTGAAATGGTTATTTAGCTGTTTAAGGTGAATTAAGCCATCGAGTTTTTAAGCTGAGTCTTTGTTCTTTCAAAAACTTCACTTTGTAGAAGTAGAAGAAATCGGAGGGTTAAAGTTTGATTCTTTATTGGAGTAATTTGTGTCTCAAACAGAAAAGGATTGGAGTAATGGGACATTCTTGAAATGGTGATTTAGCTGTTTAACGTGAAATGATGCATTTCCTTGTAGTGTATGAGAACTGACTTTAAGAGGTCACATTGGTTACTCTGTCTTAATCTTTCAACAAAGTTGATTTATTTTTCTGTCTTGTGACTTGGTCATTTTTGAAATGGTGATTTAGCTTGTTTAATGTGAAATGAGCCATTTCCTTGTAATGTATTGTTACTTTCACTCTGTGAGAACTGACTTTAAGGGATGACATTGGTTCACTTTGGATTTATTTTTCGAACAGACAATTTCGAAAACTTCCTCCGAGTCATATGACTTGGTGAGAACAGCAAGGATGGGAGGTTATGGTCTATTTGTCTTGGGTCCAACACTTCATTATTGGTTCAATTTCATGTCAAGACTCTTTCCTAAACAAGATTTGATCACAACGTTTAAGAAAATGGCTATGGGACAGGCGATCTACGGGCCTACCATGACCGTTATTTTCTTCTCATTAAACGCATCCCTACAGGGTAAGCTTCTTATATATAAATCTGAGACCAAAATTGTGCTATAAAAGTAAGAAACATACTAACCCATTTTCAATCTCTGCCGTTCTTCTATTGCCTCAATTTAGTGAAAAAATTCATTATAAAATTGCGATACATCCAACTCTGAATCTTATCTACATGAAAATTACAGTCATTTTTGCTTGTGGCTAGTACGTGTCGTGGTGAAACTGATAAATGGAGATTGATTAGTTATTTACATAAGCAGAAACTCTAGTCTCAAATAGGCAAATCTATCTGATTGTAGCTTTGGTTCTTAGTTTACTCTTGAGTCCCATAGGTTTTAGAACAAGTTGCCTCTCTTCTTGAATGGACAATTCTTGGAGTCAGATTTGTTTAATCTTGGACTTGTCTTACAAACACAAAAAGAAGTTCCATTGATATTACCGATGGAGTCTAATTTTATCTTTATCTCAGTGGTTTGATTACACTAATAAACCTTGTTCTAAGCCATTTTGCTTCCGTTATTTGTTCAGGAGAAAGCGGTTCAGATATACTTGCCAGATTGAAAAGGGACTTACTCCCTGCGCTGTTTAACGGTGTCATGTATTGGCCCGTATGTGATTTTATTACATTCAGATTCTTCCCTGTTCATTTACAGGTAATCATTCTACTTTCCCCATTACTTGTTTTGTTCTTGCTGCTTATATCAGGATGCACTCACTCTGCTCTCGTTTTTTTATTTCCATGCAGCCTCTTGTAAGTAACTCGTTTTCGTATGTATGGACAATCTACATGACTTACATGGCAAACCGTGAAAAACCAGTCGCAATTTCAAGCTGAAAAACTCACACATTTTCTACATCCTCTCAGGGCATTGCCTCCCTTAGTGCTCAGCTTTCGCCGCATCAACCTGCAATTAGCATTCTTCAAGATTTTTCTGTACTGTCTGTAGAATTAGGTTGGTAAATGTAAGAGCTTGGAAGAACTAGTCATGTCAGACTTGTATAATTTCACAAACTAATGAGTTTTGTTTCCTCTTATTTGTCTGAATTATGTTCTGCTTCAATGAAATGTAAGAGGAAGGAGTCATGGAACTGCTAAAATTTTCTTTTGCTTTCATGGAAAATTTGTTACATTAGACATGAGGAAAAAAATACAGAAAAAGTAACTAAACAAATGGGTATTTAAACTATATATCTATCAGAACTTGTACAACCCCAAGAATCTTTGTTTCCCTTCAAAGCTTCCTCAAGAAATCTCTAATTGCAATTCCACGCAAACCCAAGGAAAGAATCTCAGGTACAGGTACCAAATCTGTCAATCAAATACAATATCGGTGTATTGCTAAATTACGGTGTTTTTCTACAACTTTACTCTTCGGAAGCACGGCAACAGATCTTCTCTAGATGTATAGGCCATTCCTCTCCAAGAACCCGAGGATTCAACTCCATTGCAGCACGGAAATCCAACATGGATACATTAGACACCGCTCGCTTTTGTTGACTGTTCATCTCTCTCACCCGAGAACTGGCTAAACTCAAACAAGGCTCGATCAGCCTTCTCATATATGCATTCAATCCACTATTAAGAAGATTAGCAGAGTCCATAGATAACTTTATCCCTTCCATCTCCAATTTCCTCTCCAACCGAGCTCTCAACGTTATTGTATCAGGTAACTCGCCGCTGCTTTGACAAGTATCACGGTTGATACCATTGTATGAACTGAAAACAGACTTTTTAGCTCTGCTCTTAAGATGGAAAGAAACTCCAAGTGGAGCGGTTAAGGGGCTTCTGCTCTGCACACTCGGACTTCCGGTCATTTGCTCAACTTCTTCTCCATCTTCAACAGAGACAACTTCCATTGGAAGTCTTTGTGCCTTTGACATCGACTCGTCATTCGTAGTAGTAAGACTCTGAGGCTTCCCAAGTGGACCAAGCGGACTAGGCCGGTCTCTAAATTTCCTCGACCTGCATTTCCTCGGCGAAGGAGGGAACCCAGAATCCCCATAAAGAGACTGATTCTGATTCGCAATTCCGGATGTCTTCGGATATCTCGGTGGTGGAGATTTAGCAACAGTTGCATTCTTGAGAATCGAACGTACTAGACGGTTGTGTAGAGAAATGTTCTCTCTACCAACCGTCTTGCTACATAGCTTATCGAACTCCGACTTGCTTATCCTCGAGGTAAGGAAGTTACCGAGCTGACCGAAGTAAGTATCAGCTCTCTGATACCCAATCTTCTGATAAATTTGGGCTTTAATCTCAAGTGTATTCAATCGTTGAAAACATTGATCTGAACCCATCTTCCAACAATTTTTTCACCTGAAACTAAATCCAAATTTCCAAATCCAGCTTCATCCAAATTCTCAATCTTTAAAGAAGATCTAAAGATAAAATTGGTCTCCTTCTCTCAAATTCCAAGACCTAAAAAAAACCCACCTGAATTCAAAAATCAAAGTAAGAGAGAAAGAAGTTCATATAGAATCTGAGCTCAAACAAATTGACTAACTAAGAAAGTAAAATCAAACCCAAATTTCTGAAAGAATCTGAATTTCGGAGAAATTTGAGGTAAGAAACTATCGAAAACAGCGAAACAGAAGACAAATTTGAGAAGATCTTAAGTTTTTAAAGTATCAAGCTTTATCGAAGAAACAGTCAAATTTATCAAAATTGAATTGAGAGAAACAAAACCCAGAAAGATAAATCGAAGATTGAAGGAGAATTCAGAGAGTGAGTACGTACCAGTAGAAGCGATTGATTTAGCCGCGAAATTGGGGTTTTTTTTTTTGTTGAAGAAGAAGTGTTTCTTCGCTTTGTTGTGCCCTAAAGGGATTTTTTGTTTATCGAAAGTTCGCTTGTGTTTTGTGTTTCGTACGTGCGAATTTCGATGACAGAACAAGAGTTGAGAGAAGAAATAAGAACCTCGTTAACTCTTTTCTGTTCGTAGTTTGGACAGTCACACGTGCGAATTTATCTTTCTTCTTTTTTTTTTTTCTCTTTTCCTTGGATTAATTTTAAAATTTTCTTTTTCAAGTTAGATAAATGTAATACGAGTATATTTTTCTTTTTGGTTTTAATGTTAAATGTAACCGGTCTTCTACTATGGTTGAACCCGGTTCCTTGAGTGTTAAGAGTCGATTCCGAACGATGCGGTCAATAGATTTGGTCAATGGCCAAATGATATATTGTTTGTTCTCCTATGTCTCTTGTAGTTCCGTTCATGCCAAATAGAATGCACAATATTTTGAAGACGCGATACGTGCGGTTGAGAAGTGAATTCGATATTAGAGGATATCGTTGTAAGTTGTAGTGCGATGCTGAATAAGGCCTCGTGTTAAACTTTCCCAGACTTGAGAAGAGTAACTAAACTACACAAGAAGAACAAATGGTTCTGATCTTTACGGAAAACAGAAGAAAAATTCGCTTTCGTATTACATGAATTCATTTTATCTTTTCCGTGGATAATCCATGTCCACGGATAATTAATATTAACTATTAAGTATCTAATATAATATATTTTAAAAAAGAAACATAATTATTAAATAAATAGAAAAAGTTTTGAAAAAAGGAAAACTAAACATGATATTTATTCAATTGATTCAATGTTAAATAATTTATATTATTAGTTAAACTCCAACACTCATTGTTTTTTGGTTAACAGCTATGTTGAAGAATATAAAAAGTTCAGAGAATCAATATATTATTGCATTGAAAAATGGGATTTTACATATGGTAGTAAAAAATATACATATACATATTAATAGGTTCAAATATACATATTGCATTGAAAAATGGGATTTTACATATGGGACTGAATCTAATTTTATTTATAAAATATACATATTAAAAAAAATGGTTCAAATATGGTAGTAAAATCAATTCGAATATAAGTAGGAGAATAAATTCATCAAAGTTTTGGAAGAAAAAAGGAGAAAACTAAATAAAAATAAAATTAGACCATTAGACCCAAATCAAATAGAAATATGAGAATCAAAATATGAGAATCAACTTTTCGTGATTTTTTAATTAATAATTAAATAGACAAACTTGTGAAATTATATTGGAGAAACAAATAATAGGGGAAATAAAAAAATATAATAAATTAAGCATTGAATATGTGTTAAAATTTACAGAATAATTAAGATGTATAGCTATTTTATAAATTAGAATTTTGATATGTGACGATTCTAATGAAATACATTAAACTTTATATATTAAGATTTTTTCTTTGAACGTGATTATTTTTTCCAACCATTAGTTAGACATTAGTTATTATCTAAACATATTTATAAGAATGCAAATAAATATGGTCAAACCAAGAAAAATTAATAAAATCCCAATGATCAACATTAAAACATATATGAATTTGATAATTTTAACATTAATAACTATCGTTGACAAAAAAACCATTAATAACTATTACATAATATATTTAAAACTTCAACATTTAGGAATTGGTATACCACAAGCAGTTAAAACTTTTTGAGCTTTTCCAGATGAAACATATTGACTAAATGATGGGATTTTAAGATAACCACACAGACACGAATATTGTTCCTTTAGTTTTCCGCAACATTGCATGGATGGTTGGCTTCCGGCTTGTACCGCCGGCAGGCATACTCGAAGATCTGTCACGATGCACACCACTTTCTCCTCCTCTCCCTCGACTTTAAACACCACTGCTTTGGTCGGAGCCAAAGACGATAAGACAAAAGCAATGAATACTAATATAATGAACTTCATGTCTTATGGTCTTAGTGTCTCCTTTGATCCTATTCTAATTTTAATTAATTTTTAAAAAAATTGTTTGCAATTTGATTTTGAAGTGTTTAAAGTTCATAAAGCTACATATATAGATGGAATTCTGTTAAAAATAGGCAAGTGAAAATATTCAAACATAAATAAAATGATTTGGAAAGTAAATGAACAATTAGAAGAAATATATTAATTAAGATATACAATAATAAAGTGTAGTCAAAGTTAGAAGGATTCAAAATTGAATATGTGATAAGTTTTAAATGATTTGTATTCAAGATTGCAAAATAAATGGATTATAAATAATTATAAAATTGATGTAATCCATTTTTCGTGAATAACATATAATGAGTTTGAATCTCAAGAGTGACATAATGCCAACAACATAAACAAATAATATGATTTCGTGTGTAATGCAAATCTTCTTTCACTATATTATATATTATATATTTATAATTTCTATACGGTAAATTAACGAATAATTTAAAATAATCAAATGGATAGAATTTTAAGGTTTATTAAAGTTATAGTTACCAAACCATAACTAATATATGTTTTAGTTAATGGTTATAATTTTAATTATCTTGTATAATTATAGTCTCGTTATGGTCCAAAATACTATTATAATATGGTTTTGGCCGTGTCTAATTAGATAAACTTGCAAATTTGGTAATTTATTTTGTTTTACAATAATTTGTTACTGCTAAGTTTTTTTTGGTCTTCTTATTACATCATCATTAGAAATATTTAATGAAATCTTATTATGATGATATTCAACTACCTACAATATATGCGATTATGATGAACATCTCCTACGGACAACGATTCCACGGCGCATCTCTCCCTGCAACACTCGGATTTTCAATGGAGGGTTTTGCATGTATGACATATTTGCGATGGATAGGCTCTTCTCGCAATACTTGACGCCACTACGAATGGTTCTTCATACAGTGCTCTGGACTTCCGATAAGATTTGCACCATTAATCTACAAGAATCTACGTTCTTTAGAAATCTAACCCAGACTTCGTGTAGAAGTATGAATGAACCATTGGTCAAACATATGACTATGGGAACTTCCACTATTACTACTAAGTTTGTTTTTACTTTTGTGAATGAATAATAAAAAAGATCATAATTTGTGTTATGTATAAAAATAGTATAAAAGCATGATTTATCTAATTATGATTCTTCATGTTACAAAAAGGTTGTTAATCAAAATGTATACACAAGTCTATATAAAATGCAACTCAAAATATTGTTTAATAGTATTAATCTATCTTCATATTTTGTTTTGGATGAGCATATATACACACATGTAAGTTGATAAACTAAAAGTATAATAACAATAGTTTGTAAAAAACATATATATATTTTTATTTTTGGTTTTATTTAATACAAAATCATATATTGTCATTTTAATTATCTCTTTCATGGTCATGCTTACAAAAGAGCAAACATCTTCAAAGAGAAATCATCTCATAAATCCTTTTTGGCAAAAACCAAACCTCTTATATCCTTATTTTGTTTACATATCCCCTTTTCAATTAATGAAATGTGACTTGACGAATTTACGTTCTCTTTATTTATTAATATTCTAAATAATTTATTTGAAAATCAATTAAACAAGAAAAAAAATCGAACCCAGAAAAAAAAAACGACGGGAGCTTTCGAGCTCGAGCTCCATTGACGTCTTCTTCTCCGGCGAGCTGCATTGTTGCCGTTTCTTCCGTTCTGGCGAGCTGCGGTGAAACATATTAGTTCCTTTAGCTGCATAGAGCTTAAAATTGAAGTTTAGGATTTAGACATGTAGGAGATTCAATTCAATTAGATTTGGCTTATTGTGTTAGGGTATGCGCATTGAAGTTTATGCATAGTTTCTGGGTTGAATAGGTCTGTAAATGGGTAAGAAATGGATTGCAGCAACTGAATCATAGTGAATTTGTAGTTTTGAACCCGAAACCATTCGATTCGCGAAAGTACAACTGGTAGAACTGGGTAGAAATGTACCTGAATCTATTGAAAAATATATATGTAGTATTACTAGTTACATTAGTATTACCCAGATGTATGTATTATGACTAGTTACACTAGTATTACCCATTTACATGTAGTATGACTAGTTACACTAGTATTATCCAGATGTATGTAGTATGACTAGTTACACTAGTATTACCCGTAAACATGTAGTATTACTAGTTACACTAGTATTACTCATCTACATGTAGTCTTACCAGTTATACTAGCGTTACCCAGATATATGTAGTATTACCAGTTACACTAGTATTACCCAGATATATGTAGTATGACTAGTTATACTAGCGTATTACCTAGAATTGTAGTACAACTAGTAAAACTAATATAACTGACAGAGTTTTTGTATTGTTTTTGCAGGATACAATGATGGAGAACGTGATCATATATTTTAAATGAAAAGATCGCATGTATAGCTTGATGATGAAGACATCAGGGGGGAAGGTAGGATATGCACGAAGCTTGGATTAGATGAAAGTAAGGTTAAATTGCAATTGAAGTACATTGCAGTGCTGTTGGGACCAACTGAAGAGATCTACATTAGTGATGATGAGGATGTCGGTGTCTATATATCTTCAGGTGAAAATAACCGTAGATATGTTTTGAATGTGGACGTCATAACTCCACCAGAATTGCCCGAGCAACTGTCGAGAGTAGAGCTCCTCAATAAAAGTTATGTTGGTAAGAACTATGTGGAATTGGATTCAAATGAGGATGAAATGAGAGATAGTGCTGCCATCATTTTGTGCGAATGCGAGGAACAAGGAACAGTTTCAAATGAGGCAATAGTGGAGGTTGATGATACTCAAGATCCTGAGATTGGATCACGTGACAAATCTATGGATAGATGTGATGATAGGGGTGATGAATACGTGATGAATCTATGGATAGAACTACTTGCATGATTTATGGGTTGACGCTGAGAAACTAAAAGTGACGGAGCTAAACACATTCCAGCTTGAATACAATGTCACGAGTAGTGAAGGGAAAGAATATTCGGTCAACTTGCTCTTGAAAACTTGCAGTTGCAAGGTGTTCGATATCCAAAAGTATCATTGTGTGCATGCACTAGCCGGTTTCATTGCCTTCGAGAGCGATACAACAAGAACTCGAGGTATAGAAATTCATGAATTGGTTTCAAAGTGGATATGTGGGCATTGGCGTATTATAGGACTAATTATTTAGTCCCGGATAGGTCACAGTGGGATATCCCAGATGACATCAAAGCGTTGAAGGTATTACCTCTGCCTCAGAAAAAGAAGAAGGGTAGAACAAAAGTGTTGAGGTTTCCATCCACCGGGAAAAGGCGTCCAAAACGTCAAAGGACTCAAAACAAAAGGAGGTCGAGGCAATCGCTGCAATGGTTGTTATTTGGCAACCATAGTATTTGATTTTATCTTAACTTTATGATTTGTAAACCATATTCGCGTTGTACAACTATGTAACACTAGATTTGCCTCCTGTAATACTATGTTTTAATTCACTGGCATAAGGGTAATACTAGTATAACAGGTATTACTAATGAAGAAATTAGGTAATACTGGTATAACTAGTAACTAATGAAGAAATTATGTAATACTAGTATAACTAGTATAACTAATGAAGGAATTTGATATTTCTATTTTTTTCAACACCATCTATTACACAGACTATTAAGTGATAATGAACTCTTACAAATAATTTAAAACGAAGTAAGTTAGGAAAAAAAATATTTCATGTAAGATTGTTTTATTAAACTATATCCAACATATTCCTTATACTTTTAAGCTCACTTTTGATATAAACTCCAACTTAGGATTGAAATTTTACAATTTTATATATTGTTAACATATGATTACATTAAACCTTTAGAATTCTATAATGATAGAGTTCCCTCAAGTGTACAACTAGATAAATTATTTTTAAGGATATGTAATACTAGTTAAATTGGAAAACACCAAAAGTAAAACTGTGGACAATTTGTACAACTGAAAACTTGAGTACAACTACGTTAAAAAAATGGCGCACATGTCAAAAATACTGCGCACACGTAGAAAAGACTGCGCGCACATGTGGGCATAAAATTCTAATTTTTTCCCCAAATTTGTTTTTCCCTCCAAACCTAGATTTTTTTCCCCCCAAAATCAATTAAAATTCACTAAAAACAAATAACTCAAATTCTCTCTCTCTCAATTCTAATTCACGAGAACTCTCTCTCTTTCTCTATCTCGAAATTCACTCTCTCTCTCCAAGCTCGAGAAAACGAGATCTCACATATTCCTTCTCTTCAATCTTTGTCTCTTTTTTTAATTATGGATCGATTGTGTGAGAGGGACCCGTGGTATGATGAGAGGAAGAACGTTAAGAGGATAATGGATCAATTAGAAGAAATCGGAATGATGGAAGGAATTCCGAAGAGATGTCCTTGTGGGGGGCGCATCCTCGACAAGATCTCTGAGAACGATGGTGACAAAGGGAAGAGATACTATCAATGCAACGTGTATAAGGTAAATTTAAGATATAGATAGCATCATTCTTGTTTTAGAATAATTGATTTCGATATAGAATTCTTGTTTTGTAGAATGATGGGTTACACATTCGGAAACTTTGGGATAAAGCTATGGTAGAAGAGGTGACTAGGTTAAGGGAGGAGGTTGATAACCATCACAAAAATATTCAAAGCTTGGAGTACTATCAACAAGAAATGCGTTCGGATTTGAAAGGTAATGGTAAAGAGATCCAAAAACTGAAGGAGTTAGTCGCTCATCTAGCGGAGACTTTTGTTGTGATTGAGGAATTAATGGGTTTGTGTAAGCTTATTTTTTGCTTTGTAAGACTTTTCTAAGCTTTGTAAGACTTTTCTTTGTTAACAGTTGTGGCAGTATTTCCAGTATTACCTTTATCAGTATTACTAGTTTTACCAGTATTACCTTTTATTTGTTAACAGTTAGTCTAGTATTCCCAGTATTACTATTATCAGTATTACTAGTTTTACCAGTATTCCTTAATTAGTAATACCAGTTTTACTAGTATTACCAGTAGTATAAAACTAACTCAACAAAGGCCCAATTCAAATCCTAACATAACAAATCCAAATTCAATTCCTAACATAACAAATCCAAGTTCAAATCCAAACAAAACAAACCAAATTTAAATCCCAACATCAAAGAAAGTTTTTAGTCAACCAAGCTGTATGTTCCTCCGAGTGTTCCTCTTGGGGACTTTTGCATCCACAGCTTTCGAAGGACCACCATCCGAAGGAACTTTCGGGTCACCATCCTTCTCTTGATTCTTCTTTTTCGGGTCACCATCCTTCTCTTGATTCTTCTCTTTCGGGTCACCATACTTCTCTTGATTCTTCTCTTTCGGGTCACCATCCTTCTCTTGATTCTTCTCTTTCGGGTCACCATCCTTCTCTTGATTTGTCTCTTTCGGTGGTACTGCTTTTGTTTCCTCGTCGATCTCCTGCAACAAAACAGACATTCATTCATATATCATTATTCTACAAATAGTATTACCAGTATTACCCAAAAATCATACACATAGTTGTGCCATAGTAATACCAGTGTTACCCAGAATTCATACACATAGTTATACCCTAGTAATACCAGTATTACCCAGAAATCAAACATATAGTAATGCCCTAGTATTACCAGTTATACCCAGAATTCAAACACATAGTATTCCATGTTCTACCAGTTTTCCAATAAATCATAGTTTTACCCTGTTCTACCAGTTGTACCCAGATATACACATAGTTTTACCCTGTTCTACCAGTTTCACACCATTCAAATACTTACCATAGAATTTTCCGTCGCATTTTCCACTGTAATCTCATCCTCCTTACTCTCATCGGAGGAGGACTCTCCGGACAAGCAGGATCTACTACTATCATCGGAGGAGGACTCCCCTCCTTCCTCATTCCCTTCCTCATTCCCTTCTTCTTTCTCTTCTTCTTTGTCTTCTTATTCGCTCTCTTCTTCTTCACTCTCTTCTTCCTCAGACTTTTCTTCCTCATTCTTGTCAGACTCGTCTTCCACATTCTCTTCTTCCACTGGCTCTAAAACCGGACTTAAGGTCGAGGATGGCTGCTCCATCGAGGATGGCTGCGCAGTCGAAGATGGCTGCTCCGTCGAGGATGGCTCCTCCGTCAAGGATGGCTCCTCCGTCGAGGATGGCTGCTGCTCCGTCGAGGATGGCTGCTGCTCCGTCATTGGTACTCCTCTCTTCCTCTTTAACCCAGTTTTCTTTGGAGGCATTATCGGAAACGAGAAAACGAAGGTTACGAAAGAGAAACGAAACTCGAAAATCTGAAGTTGCTTTCGAAATCAAAATCTCCCAAGAACAGTTAGCAGTTACGCTTTAGAAGAAGGAGAATAAGGAGAGGAGACATCGATTTGATTTCGTTTTTTCTTTTTTCAAACAGATAAATAAAGAGAGAAATAAATGAGAATTAGGGTTATCCGGTTGGGAAAGATGGATCGGGTGTGGATTCGAATAGATCTGGGTTTTAGCAGTAATATTGAGGTTTTGGTTGGGGTATAGCAGTAGTATCCACAGTTTTCGATTTAAATTTAAATAAAAATAAAATTTTGTTTTATGAAGGGAGATATGAGACGAGAGTTTGCCGAAAGGGGACTCACGAGACATTTTCTCTTCTGAACGATGCGGTCAATAGATTTGGTCAATGGCCAAATGATATATTGTTTGTTCTCCTATGTCTCTTGTAGTTCTGTTAATGCCAAATAGAATGCACAATATTTTGAAGACGCGATACGTGCGGTTGAAAAGTGAATTCGATATTAGAGGATATCGTTGTAAGTTGTAGTGCGATGCTGAATAAGGCCTCGTGTTAAACTTTCTCAGACTTGAGTAGAGTAACTAAATTACACAAGAAGAACAAATGGCTCTGATCTTTACGGAAAACAGAAGAAAAATTCACTTTCGTATTACAAGAATTCATTTTATCTTTCCCGTAGATAATCCATGTCCACGGATAATTAATATTAACTATTAAGTATCTAATATAATATATTTTTAAAAAAGAAAAATAATTATTAAATAAATAGAAAAAGTTTTGAAAAAAGGAAAACTAAACATGATATTTATTCAATTGATTCAATGTTAAATAATTTATATTATTAGTTAAACTCCAACACTCATTGCTTTTTGGTTAACAGCTATGTTGAAGAATATAAAAAGTTCAGAGAATCAATATATTATTGCATTGAAAAATTGAAGACTGAATCTAATTTTATTTATAAAATATACCGATTAAAAAATGGTTCAAATATGGTAGTAAAATCAATTCGAATATAAGTAGGAGAATAAATTCATTAAAGTTTTGGAAAAAAAAGGAGAAACTAAATAAAAATAAAATTAGACCATTAGACCCAAATCAAATAGAAATATGAGAATCGAAATATGAGAATCAACTTTTCATGATTTTTTAGTTAATATTTAAATAGACAAACTTGTGAAATTATATTGGAGAACCAAATAATAGGGGAAATAAATTAAGCACTGAATATGTGTTAAAATATACAGAATAATTAAGATGTATAGCATATAAATTGGAATTTTGATATGTGACAATTCTAATGAAAGACATTAAACTTTATATATTAAGATTTTTTCTTTGAACGTGATTATGTTTTCCAACCATTAGTTAGACATTAGTTATTATCTAAAAATATTTATAAGAATGCAAATAAATATGGTCAAACCAAGAAAAATTAATAAAATCCCAATGATCAACATTAAAACATATATGAATTTGATAATTTTAACATTAATAACTATCGTTGACAAAAAAACCATTAATAACTATTACATAATATATTTAAAACTTCAACATTTAGGAATTGGTATACCACAAGCAGTTAAAACTTTTTGAGCTTTTCCAGATGAAACATATTGACTAAATGATGGGATTTTAAGATAACCACACAGACACGAATATTGTTCCTTTAGTTTTCCGCAACATTGCATGGATGGTTGGCTTCCGGCTTGTACCGCCGGCAGGCATACTCGAAGATCTGTCACGATGCACGCCACTTTTTCCTCCTCTCCCTCGACTTTAAACACCACTGCTTTGGTCGGAGCCAAAGACGTTAAGACAAAAGCAATGAATACTAATGTAATGAACTTCATGTCTTATGGTCTTAGTGTCTCCTTTGATCCTATTCTAATTTTAATTAATTTTAAAAAAAATTGTTTGCAATTTGATTTTGAAGTGTTTAAGGTTCATAAAGCTACATATATAGATGGAATTCTGTTAAAAATAGGCAAGTGAAAATATTCAAACATAAATAAAATGATTTGGAAAGTAAATAAACAATTAGAAGAAATATATTAATTAAGATATATTATAATAAAGTGTAGTCAAAGTTAGAAGGATTCAAAATTGAATATGTGATAAGTTTTAAATGTTTGTATTCAAGATTGCAAAATAAATGGATTATAAATAATTATAAAATTGATGTAATCCATTTTTCGTGAATAACATATAATGAGTTTGAATCTCAAGAGTGACGTAATGCCAACAACATAAACAAATAATATGATTTCGTGTGTAATGCAAATCTTCTTTCACTATATTATATATTATATATTTATAATTTCTATACGGTAAATTAACGAATAATTTAAAATAATCAAATGGATAGAATTTTAAGGTTATTAAAGTTATAGTTACCAAACCATAACTAATATATGTTTTAGTTAATGGTTATAATTGTAATTATCTTGTATAGTTATAGTCTCGTTATGGTCCAAAATACTATTATAATATGATTTTGGCCGTGTCTAATTAGATAAACTTGCAAATTTGGTAATTTATTGTGTTTTACAATAATTTGTTACTGCTAAGTTTTTTTTGGTCTTCTTATTACATCATCATTAGAGATATTTAATCAAATCTTATTATGATGATATTCAACTACCTACAATATATGCGATTATGATGAACATCTCCTACGGACAACGATTCCACGGAGCATCTCTCCCTGCAACACTCGGATTTTCAATGGAGGGTTTTGCATGTATGACATATTTGCGATGGATAGGCTCTTCTCGCAATACTTGAGGCCACTACGAATGGTTCTTCATACAGTACTCTGGACTTCCGATAAGATTTGCACCATTAATCTACAAGAATCTACGATCTTTAGAAATCTAACCCAGACTTCGTGTAGAAGTATGAATGAACCATTGGTCAAACATATGACTATGGGAACTTCCACTATTACTACTAAGTTTGTTTTTACTTTTGTAAATGAATAATAAAAAAGATCATAATTTGTGTTACGTATAAAAATAGTATAAAAGCATGATTTATCTACTTATGATTCTTCATGTTACAAAAAGGTTGTTAATCAAAATGTATACACAAGTCTATATAAAATGCAACTCAAAATATTGTTTAATTGTATTAATATTTTGTTTTGGATGAGCATATACACACATGTAAGTTGATAAACTAAAAGTATAATAACAATAGTTTGTAAAATCATATATATATTTTGATTTTTGGTTTTATATTTAATACAAAATCATATATTATCATTTAAATTATCTCTTTCATGGTCATGCTTACAAAAGAGCAAACTTCTTCAAAGATTGTTTGTTCGACATTAAATGGTATTTTGAGAAGTTCGTCTATGATATTGGACTAAAAAGCATCGAGAACAAGAACCAAGGTGAAAACATAAGTAAAATTCATTTTCGTATTCTAAGAACTCATTTTATCTCTCCCATGGATAATCCATGTCCGCAGATAATTAGTATTAACTATTAAGTATCTCATTTATTACTATTAAAAAAGAAATATATTTATTAAATAAATACAAAAAGTTTTAAAAAAGGAAAACTAAACATGATATTTATTTAATTGATTCAATGTTAAATAATTTATATTATTGGTTCAACACCAACACTTATTGTTTTTTGGTTAACAACTATGTTGAAGAATATAAAAAATTTAGAGAACCAAAATATTATTGCATTGAAAAATTGAGGACTAGATCTAATTTAATTTATAAAATATAACGATTCAAATTTGGTAGTAAAATCAATTCGAATAAAAGTAGGAGAATAAATTCATCAAAATTTGGGAAACAAATAGGAGAAACTAAATATAAATAAAATAAGACCATTAGACCCAAATCAAATAGAAATATGAGAATCAAAATAATAGAAAATTTTTAAAAATATAATAAATTAAGCATTGAATATGTGTTAAAATATACAGAATAATTAAGATGTATAGCTATTTTATAATTGGAATTTTGATATGTGACGATTCTAATGAAAGACATCAAACTTTATATATTAAGATTTTTCTTTGAACGTGATTATTTTTTCCAACCATTAGTTATTATGTTCCTTTTATCTAAAAAATATTCATAAGAATGCAAATAAATATGGTCAAACCAAGAAAAATTAATAAACTCCCAATGATCAACATTATAACATATATGAATTTGATAATTTTAACATTAATAACTATTGCTGACAAAAAAAACATTAATAACTATTACATAATATATTTAAAACTTCAACATTTAGGAATTGGTATACCACAAGCTGTTAAAACTTTTTGAGCTTTTCCGGATGAAACATATTGAGTAAATGATGGGATTTTAAGATAACCACACAGACATGATGATTGTTCCTTTAGTTTTCCGCAACATTGCACGGATGGTTGGCTTCCGGCTTGTACCGCCGGAGCCGGCGTATGAAATATTGGGGCCACAAGCCCAATTTAGTGTTTGGGCCGAATTATTGTGTGAACAAAGGAAAAAAAAATCAAAATATGTAAAAATTGTTGCAACGAGGGTTCAAACTTGAGATATCAGAAAGTATCTCTAGTCAGTTAAACCACTAGACTAACAAGACTTCACGAAAATGAGGCCGGTTAAGAAATTTATATTATCGAGCCGCACACACATGCTTCACTAGCTTGTGTTTAGGGCCGGCTCTGTGTACCGCCGATAGACATACTCGAAGATCTGTCACGATGCACGCCACTTTCTCCTCCTCCTCGACTCTAACCACCACTCTTTGGTCGGAGCTAAAGACGACAAAACAAAAGCAATGAATACTAATGTAATGAACTACATGTCTTATACAGCCTCTAATCTAATTTTATTTATCTTTCTTTAATAAAATTTGTGATTTGATCTTGAAATGTTTAAGATTCATAAACCTATATTCAAAAAATTGATTATAAATAAAAAGATTTGGAAAGTGAATAAACAATCAAAAGAAATATATCTATTAAGCTATACAATAAATAAAGTGTAGTCAAAGTAAGAAGGATTCAAAATTGGATATCTAATAAGTTTTAAATGATTTGTATTTAAGGGTGAAAAATAAATAGATTATATATAATTATAAAATTGATGTAATCCATTTTTTGTGGATAGCGTATATTGGGTTTGAATCTGAATAGTGACATAGTAAGGCCAACAACATAAATCAATAATATGATTTCGTGCGAAATGCAATTCTTCTTTCATGGTATAATTTATTATATGTTTAAAATTTGTAAAACGGTAAATTAACGGACATTTAAAAATAATTAAATGGATAGAATTTTAAGGTTAATTAACGGTTAGAGTTACCAAACCATAACTTATATATATATTTTATTTTATGGTTAATTATCTTGTATGGTTATAGTCTGGTTATGGTCCAAAATACGGTTATGATATGATTTTGGCCATGTCTAATTAGATCAACTTGAAAAGTTGGTAATTTGCTTTTTTTTGTAACAACAATATGTTTCTACTAAGTTTGTTTTTATTTTTGTGGATGAATAAAAGAGACTATAATTTGTATTAAGTATAAAAATAGTATAAAAGCATTTATTTTCCTAATCATATGATTCTTCATGTTACAAAAAGGTTGCAAATCAAAATGTATACACAAGCCAATGTAATACGCAACTCAAAATATTGTTTGATATTATTAATATATTTTCATGTTTTGTTTTGGATGAACATATATACACATGTATCATAAACTAAAAGTATGATAACAGTAGTTTGTCAAAAATATATATATCATACACATTTATTATTGATTTTATTTTTAATACAAAATCATATATTATCCTTTTAAATTTATCTCTTTTATTGTCATGCTTACAAAAGACCAAGCATCTTCAAAGAGTTTTTGTTCGACATTAAATGATATTTTGAGAAGTTAACTCTATTCATACATCTTCTGTCATGATCTAATGTAGCCTAAATTTTGTTAATATGATTTCAATTCGATCACATGTTTCTATGGTACCACCAGAGTTTATCTGGGTAGTAGATATTTTAGAAAAATATCCCTATCTTTCAAAAATTTCACTATGAGAGCCTATATATGAATCGTTTGAATATTTATGCACGGACTTTTGGATATGCCTTTTTAACCTAAATGAATCATTTTCTTCTTCAATTATATACTCTCACTTGTGTAGTTGCATCTTTCACTTATAATCCAAGCACGGATCTCCCCTTTCCCTCTTTCATGTGTAGTTGGTCCCAAATAGTGTGTCTTGAGAGAGAAAACTTAAACATATCTAAGGATCCTTGTTGTTTGGAATAGCCGAGTGAGAGACTTGTCCATTAAAAAGGAATATTTGTTGCATTATGGGAAAACACTATTTTGTTTATTGCCTTTTGTTTCTTAGCCGCATATCTTAATCATTGCATCATTAAGACCGTCAAGTGCGCATCCAAAAAATTATTTTTCCTTCTGAGGACTTTCCGATGCTATAGTCAAAAAGAACAATGAGTCACTTTCCAAAGGACGATGGAAGTTTTAGTTCATAAAAATAATCTAATTTGTCTTATTTTAATAACAATATTTTTTGTTGAATAAGATTAAAAGAAGAAGGATAAAGAATCTACTTTGGTATTTATGAAACTTTTTAAAGTTGATGGTAGGCCTAGGCATTCGGATTTCGGTTCGGATTATTTCGAATTCGGATAATTCGGGTAGGAGATTTTATTATCTGATCAAGTTTTATGACTAATCGGTTCGGTTTTGATTCGGATAGGTGTCGGTTTCGGATCGGTTTTCGAGAAAGAAAAAAAAACAAAAAAAATTGTTCAATTTTAATTAAAATTGGTTTATTCTTACTATTAAATTTTGCAAATGTATAATTTTAACAAATATTATAACTACAAATTTTCGGATAACTAAGTTATTTACAATATTTTTGTTATTTGGTATAAAATTATAACTAAAAATAACTAATATTTTTGGATTTAATTTTATTTCAGGTTTTCATATATACTTTTCGGTTTTCTGTTAGGATTGGGTTCGAATAATTCAGGTATGAGAATTCATTATCCATTCGGATTTTGTTACTTTTCGGTTCGGTTTCGGATTGTTTTTCGGATTTTATGTCCAGCCCTAGTTGATGATATGTTACTATGTTTGTCTCACAAAGAAATCACTAAAGGCCTAAACTCTCTTTCAAATAGATTGGGCATTCATAAAAGAGTTCAAATATTTGGAACCATATATTTTACTTAGATATTTAAATTACTTAAACCGAAGTAAAGACTTTTCTATATAAACCACAAGGTTGCAGAGATGCAGATTCTAACTCTGGTTTAACCCAAATTAAGAGATATACTACTCAACAGTCCACGAAATATTGAACATCGAAGCGTCCATAAAATGCGTTTTCGTCTACCAAAAACAATAGCTACAACTAAAACAAGTCGACTGAACCAGAAACAGAGAGACAATCGATAACTTTAGACCAGCCACAAAACAAGGAAACCGACACAAAGAACATGATGTGTAACGCTCTAACAAATCAAACCGCAGCCCACAATTCTCAAAATCAGCTCGTAAATAACATTTTCTAGTCGTCCAAAAGGGTTTCCACTTGATTTGGATAAAGCAGGAATGTATATGATATATGTTGAGCCAGCCTTATTCCCCTGTCTGATAAGATATTACCTCATCGCTGCTCCTCATCGGGTACTTCTTGACCAATTGCCTGTAGTGCAAGTCTGTAGTATAAAATCCCCATTGTTGCCATACACGCTCTGCACATTGGTCACACATAGATTTAGGCCACAATTGATAATATTAACTGATTCTGCACCAAACATTTGACATTAACAAGCAGCTGAAGAAAAAGTTACACTGTAAACAAGGTCTTACATGAGAGCTATGAAAATTAGTATTTTCCTTATATCCATTCTTGATGATCGTTGATGTCTTACACGGCCTTCAGAACCATCATCTCCCTTCGTTGCATCCTTACGAGGTGGTGCAGTCACGGGTAGAGTTGGTAATGCACTTGACCAGAAAGGTAGTAAAGCACGTAGAACCTTGTGACGGAAAGGACCTTACATGTGAAAAGAAAAAAAAAAAAGAATCAGTTTCAGTCATCGCGACAATGCTATAGATTCATACAAAAGTGAAGTTCGTGTAATGGAAGGCAGACAAGAGAGGTAAGAACGATAAGGTTTTTCTCCAACCTCTTCTTGAGTACTTTTTACGATTCCCGTCTTCATCGTCCGCATAATATAGAGTCTCGGAGTTCTGCCTGTCCACAGCGGGTACTCCTTTCCGTGCAGCAGCAGCAGCGAGCTATATACGACATCAACAAATAGATAACATTGTGACAAATCATAGAGGGAAAACAGAGACTGCAACTATTTTTTGTGAAAAAACCAAGTTTTTAAAAGAATCTCTTACTCCAGGGCTTGAGCTTTTCATGTAATTCCCAGCAGAAGCAGGAACATCTATCTCAACTATCTCTGAAACCGCAGCTTTGGAATATTCTCCGTTTCCAGCTACTGAATAACCATCAGGCAGGTTATTCCCTTCTTGTGTATGAGAAGATGATGAAATATTAATTAATGCATCCGAAGCAAATGCAGGTGGTGGGCTACGAGATTCGGTGGATCGAGAAACTGGATGGTTCCCAAGTAAATTCTTCTCAAGACCAGTCTGCCAAATAGAGAACAGATAATTAAAATCCAACTAAACCAGTAATTCTTTCAGGCTGTGTGACAATACATACTGCCAAATCTCTGCGAATTTTATATGCTCTCACTGAGAGATGTCTAAGTGAGGAAAGGTATTAGTTTTAAGATTTTAACTTCAAGAAGAAAAGTTGGATAATCTGCAAAACAATTGAGCTAACAGATGAAACTAACCTGCGTAATTACTTCCCTTAACAGAGCATGAAGCCGAGATCCTGCATCTTTTACCATCTTAGGAGGCCATATCTGCATTTAATGATCATATGAGAACTATACTATGGAACTCTCCCAAGAACGAAACAACACTTCGAAGTAAGGTAAAACCAGGCTATACAAAATGTTTTTCAAGTAAAACATAAGGACAGAAAGGAATGGCAATCGGGATGGCTATTAGCTCAAACCCTCGTGAACCAAAATAATCAAGATAGCTACCTGCCTACCTCCAGTATATTACATCATAGAGGAAAGTATAACACACCAAAACATAGTAAGCAGCTAAAAGTCATCCGAAATTTGCTAGAAAAGAGTCAATAGAACATGAATTATTAATCATTAAAATTTGCTAATTTTAGTTACTTCCCCAAGATTTATCTGTCTAGGTGTAATTTTGATTGCTAGGCTTTCATCTGCTACATTACAAACAAGGGTTGCTACTGACTTGAAGAAGCTAACTAAACCAGGAAATCATGTACCACTACTGCCCGAAGAATCAAAGGATACAAAATTGCCTAAAACGTTAGGTCCAAAACAAGACACCCAAATATTCAAAAAAATGTACACCTGGTCTCCACATGCAAACAGTCTTTATCATGCTTCTATGGCCAGAAGGCCCAGAAAGCAAGAACAACACTGATCAAGTGCTCAATATTATTATAGAGAAACACAGGAAATCGCTCCATCTCAAATATTTATTTAAATCCATGTATCAATATAAGACACCAAAAAAAGAGCTCCAGCCTATACAGACACACAAGGATAAAAAAGCGATAGAAACATGAAGAACACAAAAGAACTTTTACTACTAAATTAATATGAAACAATAGGGCTTACAGGTGTGCTACATGATGGGCACACATAACCAGCAGGTGCAGTATGAGGAGGAAAACTCTTGATAAGCGAAACCAGACAACTTGTATGTATAGCATCTGATCCAAATAGAGGGTAAAGAAGGTTCCATTCATTTAGTTATCAAAATTCAGAAATAAAAATCCAATACAACAATGGTAAGAGTCAGATAACATACGCAAGCAACCCAACCGAGTGACTTGATGACCTTCCCCCTCATCAAATGTTGCTTGGCATTGACAACACTTTGGCTGGTCATATTCTCCATCTATCACCCATTCTGAATAAGTCCGGACCTATTGATTACAACATGATAAAAACATCTTTCAACAATGTCCCTCCATGTCTACCAAGAAGCAGCAAAAAGAAAAAGAGAAATTCTGAACATTGTTCAACTTAACCACTTGGAATCATATATCCAGATTATCCTTTAAAAATGCACGAAGATAACAATCAACAACTAAACCAAACCAAACACTTCTGTTTCCCAAAAGCAGGAATTTTTCCAAACAGTTGAAGATCTATTCTTCCCCATAATATTGCTATATATACTAGGATACTACGATACCACATTCCAAACAGCAAGAGTCTAATTCCTCTAGAAAACTATCAGCTCGTGGTAACAACAAGAAAATGATTTGATAAAACATACCACACAAACTTGATGCTCCGGGAAGCAAATGCATTCCCCGCAAACAGGGACCTTGTGAACAAAGCAATACAGCTTGGTAGCCTGACAAAAACAAACAAAGAGAAATTGGAAACATTAGCATTCACAAGATGAGCTCCGCAAGAGAATTACAAACAAAAACAAAATTTACAAACAACCAAATCGTTCATAATTTCCCCTACAACTACAAATCCAGATCAAAATTCATCAAATTAGGGGAAATTACCGAAACAAGATACATACATGCAAACAAATCGAAATTTATTTCAAATTAAAAAACTCAGATGCAAGATCAGAAATCCCTAACATTCACGATTTGACAAGAAAAGTCTCATAAATATCATCGAATGATAGCACTGAAGAATTTGAAATCAGTAAACGAACGATATAAATACATATTATGAACATACCTTTCTGCATTTGCAGACCACCATTGCAAACGAGAAAATCAGAATAAACAAGCCAGAGCTCAGAGAATTAGATCGCACTCGGAAATTGAAGCAAGCTTAGGGTCCCCGCTGGTTTAAGGATCAGACAGAAGAAGAAGAAAACGGAGAAATTGAGATCAAATATATGGAGAAACTGAGATTTCCAGAGACATTGCGGTATTCATAGATCAGATCAAGGACTCAGAAGAAACAGAGAGGATCCGAAATCGACGAATCAATCGAAGAAATTACTGAATCCGAAAATTGAAAACCTAGATTTGAAGATCAAGGATCGAAAGGAGAGTGAAGAAGATGAGAGAACGTACCAAAGCAGAAGAAGCCACGAACCGATTTTTCCCTTTGCTGGTTCCTGAAGCTCTCTTCTCTTTTTTTTTTATGCCCTATGAATATGATATTTACTGCATTCACTCTCTTTTTGTTTTATTTAACACAAAAAATCAAATTGTTACAAACTTACAATAATGGTATATTTTTTATATATAAAAGTAAATACCAAAATTAGTGAAAATATTATACTTGTGTCTCTTAAATTTGTTGACAGAGGAATGACTTATGATGAACAATTTCGTTTTTTTTTTTTAGCATCTGCAAACTTTCGTTAGATTGTGAACGGATAATACAAAGATTCAACCAACCATGATGGTGGTCTTTCATTCACCACTATCATGCTTGGTTAACTCTTTGTATGAACAATTTCGTTTATATAAAAAATGAAAGTTATTGTGTATGCATAATGTATTTTATCGAATTGACAAAAAAATGTATTTTATCGAGAGTTACCTTTCAAATTGTTACTTTTTTATGAAGCGTTAAAACCGAAATGCACATTTTAACAATTTTAGTGATGAATTTGGCACAACAATATTGACTGGAAATTGATACAGAGATCGGGATTGAGATCACATACTGAAATCACCCATAAACCATCGTTCAAGTGCCCTTCTGCTTGATTTCTCAAAGCTTTCTTTCTCTAAAATATTTTTTCTCAGAAGAGATTCCCTCCTAAACATAGGTAATAACAGTATTGAACTCAAACTATATATCAATTATTACCAAATTAATTACTTTCTTCTTCCAAATATATTTACAAAATCTAAAAACCATATTCTTCAAATAACATGATTTTAATTCAATTTCAAAATAATTATTGAATTTTAATTATCTTTAATAATTTGTTACAAATAACTAAACTAACAACATGTAGGTTTACTAGAGTTTTAAATCTCTGAAAATTGTAAATTCTCTAACCCCTATACCCTAACTATATGTATTGAATTGAAGGTGATCTTATCATATATATTTGACCAAAAAAAAGGTACAAAGAGTTTTCCTAGTATCCCATATTTTAGTATCCCAAAGAAAGTTGTAGAAAGTAATATAATGTTATTGGTTATGCACTTATAAGCTTCACTTGGACTGAGTAAAATACAAACTATGTTCCCCTGTTTTTTTTTTTTAATGTGTGACTGAATCTCATAAGTCATAACATAACATAACAATAAATGGATCAAACTTGTAAATGTTCATGTGAAAGAATGAGAGTAACGAATTATCGTGAACGCATATGTTTTTGTTGTTGGTGGTGTTGTTTCCTAAGAGCAGTAAAATGAGCAACAATCTGATCATAGTCAGGAAGCTTAGGATGAACATGCATAGCTTTCTTCAAACTTCTTTCGCCTTCTTCGCTTTCCTTTTGATCCGGCAACATTGTAAACACGTTGTACACTATATGGAAACATTTACCACCACACTCTTTCTTTTGACGACTTCTCTTTCCCTTGTAGTAGTACCTCCAACAATCCACGTCTTTCGCGATTGGACTGCTTGATGATGATCTTGAGTTTCTCCTTGACCTCTTTCTCTCTTTTTTCTCTTCTTCAGTCTCTATGAATCTGAATACACTTTGATCTTTTTCCACCACTTGTTCCTCTATGCAATCATCCTCATCACTTGATGCTTTACTACGACTTTGTTGCGCTTGTTTTTCCTCTGTATCCGCATCCGTGAGAGTAAACTTATACACTTCTGTTTCGCTATCAGCCTTTTGTGACGCACACGGCGGCTGAGCAGAATCGGTACCCATGACTTCTTTCTCTCCTTCTACATACTCGCTTTCTTTTACCTACACACACACACACACCAAAGAAGAACCATATCACATACTCACATCACATTAAGAAGCTTATAAGATTGATTTTCATAATGATGCAAAGAGTAACCTGTTTGTGAAATTCTGGAGTATATTCGAGCGCCAAAACTTCTAAACGAAGATTGTACTCTTCCGCTATTTCACCTAATAGTTTGGACTTGGCATCATCCGATACTGAGATTATGGAGAGTTTCTCTATAACCTACATTTGAGTATATATATGCTATGTTAGATTTAGAGGTCAAAGATGTACTCTTTCTTGAACCTTAAGGAAGACTAAACAAGTTGCTTGAATCATAAGAAACAGAACTGAATAAAACAAAACCAAGAAATGAAGACGAAAGAGATGTGCACACAGGAACCTGAAGGTTGACACGATTACAAGGCAGAAGATTAAGAGCCGTGTCCACAAAGTGTTTCCCATAACGATCACCAAAAAGAATCCTCAAGGCACGTAGCTCAGGCAAGTCTCCACATCTAGCAGAGGCAAAGACAAGTGTTGAAACAGCTTCGTTGATGCCATCAGGAAGGTCTCTATGTCTTCGAATGTAAGAGAGGTTGAAGAGGACAATGTCGGAGAAGTGAAGCAACAAGTGGTAGAGAGACATTAAGTTCTCATCAAGGAAGAGTTGTTGAGCACGATGAAGAGCACGGTCTCGTTCACCAATACGTAGTAACTGAGCTATATCGTTTCGTAAATGTGAAGAAATGGCGTATTTCTTGTTCGTGAGTAGCTTTAGACGACATTGAAGCTGTTTCACTACACTCTTACACTTGGAGGTTTTTCTCCATCCGAACAAAAAACAAAGCATTGTATCGTGTTCTGTTGGGTTGTATCTGAAACTTCAAAGATGAATTTGCTCATAATGAGTGAAAACAGAGGATTTGAGAGTTTGTAGGAGAAAGTGGGGTTTGATGATTGTGGGGAAGTGGGCCGGTTATTTTTAATTTATCAAAGATTTTAAAAAAATTATAACATCGTGTAATTCAATTATGATCGTTTTTTTTCATTTTCTGAGTTATTAAAATGATTTAAATTCACTTTTTGTCCTTTATATTTTTTCTTGAATACAATTAAAAATGTAACTAAATTTTGGTCTAAGTTTTTTTTTTTGGTGGGCATTTAACTTTTACAAAATATAATTTAACTCTTGATATTTGAGTGAGATACTGAGATGATAATTAATATCATTTAGAAACTTAATAAATCTCATTGGCTTTCAATGGAACTATATTAAAAAAAAAAAAAAAAAAGAACACAAATGTCCCAAGCTTTCTTCACTAACACATCTCGAGAGACAAAAGCACGAGAAGTAAAGAAAAAGAGAGCTCTTTAATGTTCAAAGTTGGGGTAAAGGAGGAGCCTCGCCAAATTTAAGAATGTAAGCAGCTTGGTGAATTGGTCTCAGCTGCAATATAATCTGAGCATCAAGATACGCTTCGCAGCAGAAGCACCATACCGACAAGTCACTGTTCTTCCACAGACAGATATGAGCATCAGTCGCCGTTAAAATAACAAGAATGAACGAGCATATGTAATGAAAAAAATGTACCTATAGCTGAGTGCAAGGCAGTGACCGGTTTGTTGATGATGCATCAACATATGCCTGTTCACGAAACGGCTGCATAGAACCTCTTTACAACAAAGGCATAACCAGTTCTCTACCGGGTTTTGGCACCTTATATCGTACACAACAATGATCTCAAAATCAATATACTGTCAACACAACAAAGAAAACAGCTTTGATGCACAGTGCTCGACATTGTTTCCTTAGATTTCTTTTTTTTTTTTTTTTTTTCAGAATCACTAAACACTTCCTACGGTACAAGTGGACATTGTATAGAAGCAAGATAAATATGGTATCATCGGTACAATGATGAATGTCTTTTAACCTACCTATTGCCAAGTTTTGATCCTACTCAATCATATAGAAAGAACACCCCCTACTCAATCGTATAGAATGACGATGAACCAATTCTTACATTCTACCCTCGACTGTAGAGGGACAATGCCAAACTGATTCTAAGTTTAGTAAACACAATAATGATATCAAAATCAATATACTGCAAACAAACAATCACAAGAGCTTTGGTGCAGCGCTTGAGTTCGTTCCGTAGAATTCAGAATTACTAAACACACTACTATGTGGCACGAGTATCTAATTCTATCTTCAACTTCAACAAAAATCACAAAGGAGAAGAGCCAAATTCATACATTTTCAGCCTAGTACTTGTTCATGCTACAATTAAAATGAATCAATCTAAAACAATGATGTCAAAACCAACAAAACAATCACAGGCACGAGCTTTGGTGCCAATACTTGAGATTGTTTCTTTAAAATTCATAATCACTAAACAACAATCACAAAGCAGAAGAGTCAAATCATCTACTCCAAAAAAAAGAGACCTAGAAATCAAAATTACCTTGAACAAGGAGTATCAGGAGTTGGTAAGTGAAGTAAATCGGGAGAGAGAGTGTTCAAGTGATCGCAAGATGTACGAGCTTCGACCCAACCCGACCCGGCTCCGAGTATCCAGTCTTGTGTTTCATCTGCAACTTCTTCCTGTGACAGAGTTTTGGTTTAGAAAATAGTGATAGAGATGAGAGACGATATCGGAAAAGAGAGGACGGTTTTTAGGTTACCGGCGGAGAAGAGGAGGAGGACGTTGCTTTGTCCGCCATGGATATTGAAGCGTCGCCGAGAAACCCCTAAACGCAGCGTTTAGTAAAAAAACCGAATGATCTGTGGTTGCGTTTTGACTTTTTTGACTAGCTATTATTATTTTTATACAAGTAGTGGAGATTTAGGAAAAAGTGTATTAAAAAGACTACTACTAATAATTCATTTTCTTGAAAAAATTAGGAAAAACTACAAAATCTACCACTTATTTCCAATTTCTTTCAAAATCTACCACATTCCTTCCCTTCTTTCAACTCATACCACATTTCGATGTAGAGTTACCATTTTGCCCTCCCTTTTTATCTTCCCTTTTATCTTTCCTCCCTAATTATTTCCCCTCCCTATTTATCTCTCCTCCCTATTTATCTTCCCTACAACATTAGCTTCCCTATTTATCTCTATCTCCCTCGAAACACGTGCACTTTAACCAAGAAACATTATATCTCCTGAGACTAAACAATTAACTTTCGTTTTTGTCTCCAGATCTTGTCCCCGATTGGAAATTCTCTGTTGCGTCTAGATTTTGTCCCCGATTTCATCATCTTCCTCTATTATCATGAATTCCACATCTTGTCCACCAATTGTTCTCATTTAAGTGTTTCGAATTTTATTTAGATTTTTCTCCATCTATTTTGGTCCACAGATTAGTTGAGCATTATTGTCTTCACCTACCCGGATTATTGAATTTTTTTCCTTCTATTGCAAAATAACAAAAAGATCCAGTTGTCCCCGAGTACTATTACTCATTCTATTACTCATTCGATATGAACTTGTCCCCGGTCTGATTCTATTACCCATTCGATCTGAACTTGTCCTCGATCTATATCTATTACCCATTCGATCTGAAATTTTCCCCGATCTAATTCTCTTACTCATTCGATCTGAACTTGTCCCTGATATAACATATTCGATCTGATTCTCTTACTCATTTGATCTGAACTTGTCTCTGATCTAATTTTATTACCCATTCCATCTGAATTCGATATGAACTTGTCCCCGATCTAATTCTATTACTCATTCGATATGAACTTGTCCCCGATCTAATTCTATTACCCATTCGATCTGAACTTGTCCTCGATCTAATTATATCACCCATTCGATCTGAATTTGTCCCTGATCTAATTATATTACTCATTAGATCTGAATTTGTCCCTGATATAACATATTATTTAAATAACCGTGCAGCATTTATTGCAGACCTGCTCCTTCTTTGGAAGCGCCAGACAAAACTGTCTTTGTCTCTGACACAGACTCTGTCCCTGACACAGACTCTGTCCCAATCAGGGGTATTTTGGTCCAGCATTCCACATGTGCTATTGAAATATGGTAGATTTTGAAAGTTTTTTGAGATTGTGGTAGATTTTGAATGTCAGTTGTTGAAATGTGGTAGATTTTGCAATATTCCCAAAAAATTACTAACAAATTCACGTTTTCAAAATAAAAAAATCTAGGGATTTGGGAACCAACTAATTTTTATCCACTCAATTTAAATTGGGAGAGTTACTAGATTAACCCAAATTTTGAGTTTAATTACTAAATTGACTCACAAATAATTTGGGTTAAATGAGTTATTTTCATGCCTAAAATACCCTTGTCTCATGTGTAAAAAATTAAAAAAAAATACAAAAATACCCTTCATAAAAAATTCCAGCAATTTTAGAAAAATCTGCTATCTACTTATGACAGATCTATACTATTAGTTGGGAATCATTAAAACATAAGTAACCCTATTTTGGTAGAATATTTACAAAAAATGCCATTGAAAATTTGAGTATAAAGAAACAAAAAAAATTCACGTGGAAGGGTAAAAAAAAAATTTCCCATTTTAAGAAACACGCAGATCTATATTTGCTGAGTTGGATGATCCGAATAACAGTCCTTCTCAATATTAATGGGTTGGATGACATTTTAGATGGGCTTCATATTTGACAAATGGGCTTCGCCGACAATCACAACCTCACAATTAATCCCAATATTGTTTGAGATACTCTGGATATTAATGACACATAAACAAAATGGTTAGTTATCATTCAAAAAGATTTCTATAACAAACAAAATAATTCAATATCCATAACTACATAAATTTCAACAGATTTCCATAACAAACAAATCCTCGACAATCTTTTTAGCCCAATTTATCATAATCACGATTTCTCAATTTATAACTAAACAAATTATTTATCTTAACAAACAAATTCAATTACCAAACTCTATCAAAAACTAGATATTGAGATATGTTTAAATCGAGAATATACCCTAAAATTCGAGCATCTACCTTATACGGTTGTTGATTTAATTCTCTAAACCCTAAAATCTGCTTACCTCCCTCAATTCATATAAATAGACGCCTAATGTGAAAGTTCAGAAACACACTAACCTTTCATAAAAGCATTCTTCACTTTTTACAATTTCGTAACCATGGCTCAAAATCACGGTATCACCACCCTTGCTGATGTGAGACCTTTCAAGACGAATTGAAAGATCCAAGTGAAAATTGTCCATTCCTGGACACAGTACATGCAATTCACTGGTGAAACAACAGAAATGATCCTTGCAGATCAGGCTGTAAGTATAGATTATGTGCTTCATTATATCTTAAGATTCTTTACAAATTACAATAATAATAACTATGTTGTTATCTTCTATATAGGGTACTTTGATACATGCTACTATTTATTTTATTATATAACACGTTTTTATTATGACAAATGTTGCATCTTTTAGTAAATACACTTTTCTGCATAATGTATAATTAATCAAACTGAAAATAAATGTGTGTAATATTGTTTATTCTAAAGATTATTCTAAAGATTGATATTTTCACTATTAATTACATAAAACAAAACAATACATTTAAATTACAACTTTATGTAAATCCTATCGATTCAAAATAACAATCCGCACGTACGTGCGGGTCCGGATCTAGTTAATTTATAAACTGCAGACTTATTTGTCTGTAACAGAATTTTTAGAATATGGTTACGACAGACTTACCAAATTTTAGCAGATTTGTTTTTGTTGACAGATTTTTTTTCATTCAACCACAGACTTTAACAATTTGTGACAGACTTATTGTAATGTCTGACTGATTTAATTTGTAAGAAGCGGCATATTTATTATTTTCGAAAAAAAAACTGTCATGTTATAACAGATTTGCTGATTAAAAATTAATAACTAGATTGACGTCTAATGGTAGCAGATTTGTTATATGTTATGACAGATTTTTATAATGTTACCATAAATCTGTCGTGTTACAACATATTTGTTTTTCAAAATATAATCTTTTATGTTATGACAGTTTAAATTATATTACCACAAATCTGTCGTTTGATGGCAGATTTGTTAAAGTATAAAAAAAAAATGCTCGAATGACCTTTATAATTTTGTATGTTACGACAGATTTGTAATTATGAACCTCTTTGATAACAGTATTTTTTTTTTTTGGCAGATTTTTTTGCTATAATAATATTTACAGTGGTGACAGTTTTTTTCCTTGTAATGACAGACTTATTAGAGTAGTTACCATATTTACCACTAAAACATTAAATGTCGACATCTAGGGTTTTTGTAAAAAAAAAAACGTGGCCTCCTTAGTTTTTGTGAAAAAAACGTGGCCTCATGAGAGGAAAATCTGATTTGGGGAAAATAAAATGACATAAATCGAGTTTGTGTTTGCTTTAGTTGTTTTATTTCTTAATTTTTCTGTTTTTTTTTAATATTCGGAAATCAAATAATTTTTTTTTTGTGAATAGAAATGTTGTAGAAATCTTGATTAAGATTAATTGGTCTTTTTACACAAAATTTGGGTTAGTCTAGTTATCCATCACTAATGAGAGTCATTTTAGTTATTAGTGCCAAGTTTTGAGTCAATCTGGGTAATTTTCACTAATTTTGTTGAGTTTATTTATCAAAAAGAATCAATTACCGGATTGGACTTTATTTCGGTATAAATTATCGGATCCGGTTCATTTGTCTATACTTGCTGATTTAAAAAAAATTTCTTATATCGAAATATCTTTTTTTACCCTTACACCCAGTGACGAGAAGCTTTGATGACGTTTCGATTTAGACTATTAGTTCTCTGTGACAACGAGTCAACAACGATTTGTGGAGATGATGGTGACGATGATGAAAGTCGGAGAACGAAATTGTGAAAACGATGATAAATCCGGTGATCGAGATGGTGGTGACGATGATAAGATTCGGTGACGATGAGGAGACGACACGCAGAAGTCGATACTGGAAATTAGATGGTTGGGATGATGAGATCCGGTGACAATAGTGGTTTGCACGGTGGTGAGAAGCAAGTAGAAGAAGAAGATGATGGTAAGTTGATGATAAGATCGGGAACATGTAATTTACATATTTGGTTTAGATTTGAAGATGAATGGAAAGTTTTGATTCAATTAATGTTTGTGATTAGACTCCTTGGGTTTACTAGATATTATCCCCCTTAGGGTTTAGTTTCCTTTAATTCCATTGAATTCATCAGATCGAAGATAGAATTGGCGCCGGCGGAAGAGAGATTTTTTATTTTGGAGGTGAAAGAGTTGGTGCTAAAAGTGATGGAAACGGTATTGATGGAGCACACGGTGGTGAGAAGCAAGGATTAAGGCCGTGAAAGCCAGTATTGTGGTTGCGAGAGGAAGCAAACGTTTTGGTCGGTGGAGGAAACGTGGTGGTGGTCAGGAGGATAAAATTCTCATCGGCCCCCTGTGCTCGAATCAATTTCTACTTAGCCCCCCTTATAAGAAACAAGAGTTTAATTGTTTAATTTAATTCGGAAAAATAGTAAATGACCAAAAAAAATATGGGCTTTTCGACATATTTACGGACCCAACCTAATTTTAGATCTAGATCCATATTTGTTGGGTCGGGGTTCGGATCTTTTAATTCCCAAATCTAACTTCCGAACCCTAACCCTAATTTTCTATCTGTTTCTCCTTTTCTCTATCGAAAAAAATCCCCGACGAGATACCCGACGAGACTCCGCCGTTCTTCTTTGAGAGAAATCTTCTCTCATCGCCGATTTAACTCCTATTCTTCCCTCTTCTCTCGTTCGCCGACAAAGTATCCGCCGACA